TAAAACCTTTCCAAACTCGTTTTTCATGTGCCTCGTTCCGCACGTTGACCCTTCTGCTCAACGTGCATGAACCCGCATCCTGTCTGATGACAATTGTCGCCAGGAGAGCTGGTTTACAGAGGTCACAAAAAAAAGCAAAAAAAGTGTGAAAACCCGGAAAAAATTATACGTCTTCTGGGGAGGAAAGGCCGAGTCCATATTTTGGTTGGACTCGAGCCTTTTCTTTTCCCTCTGCTCTCCTCTTCCTTTGTATCTAGCCCTTGACACATGCCCTGGAACTCTGCCCGTCATCCTTTATTGGAGGTGGGAGGCCAGGTACCTTTTTTCTTATATCTGTGGATTTGGAAATGGGGTCGGTCTTGCCACTTGGCCCTGAATTATATCCCATTTTCAGTGAAATTTTGGATCTTGTAGAATTGTAGTCTTTGGCATAGAGTACTAGTTATTGTTTGGCAGCCGTAGTTCTGTGTAATCTGGTTTCTGTATGTTCTTTGGATCTCAGCTTCGATGTTCGTTCCCTTGCTCTGGATCTCTGGATATATTGCTACTGTTAGCTCTCAATGTTCAATGTTGCCATATTTCCACCAATGCTCGCGCCGATCACATTGGAATCCTCGAGTTTCGAAAAGTATATTTCGCAACTCGACCAGATATATAAAGCATCTCGGTTCTAATGTCTGTATAACTAGCACGATATATTATAAGGTATACTGTTCAACCACACAAATTACTTTTTAGTTTAGTTCCAATACCTACCAATTGCTGCTGATACTCAAAAATCCGAGGCAAAAGTTCGTTTAGATCGAGTCCAGCTTATTGTACTTTCTAAGGCGAGCTAGACGTTCCTATGGCTCGATTGGATGTAAGTCATTGGAAAGACGCCCTATTCCTCCGGAATTGCTCATAGCAACGAGTTTGGTGAAATTATCATTAAGCTGGTAGATTGTGGTGAAGCCTAGAATATATATTTCCAGGGTTGGCTGCTTAAGTATACAACAAAAATAATCTAGAGCCAATTTCCAACACTGTTATATAAAAGAGAAATTGCCACAAAGTAGATCAAATTAGACAATAAAACAATGATATTTCTCTTGAGAATACAATTTCGCTCATTCGCAATAAATCCAGATCCAGCAGATCCAATAAAACCCACGCTATGCATCGCAACAAAACAAAAAAGATGTCAAGCCAATTAGCCCAGCATAACCATGCAGCTAGCTGCTAGGTACACTGAGAGGCAGACACGTGTTCAACAGTAACCAGTAGAGTTGGAAAAGGGGAAAAAGAGAAGTGAAAAGGGAGAGACAATGAGAACACAGCGTGAACTGTAGCAAAACACCAGCCAAATAATGATACAAGGGAAAAAAGAGTGGAGACATGAAAATCCGGGGAGAGACAGGGATAGGAAAACCGGCACCGAGAGACCGCCCAATTTGGTCAGGGGCAAAGAGAAAAGGGAGACGAAAAAAAGGGGGGAGAGAGATTGGTCCAATTATCTCCAAATAAATCCTTTGTCGATCATCGCCTCACTTTTTTTCTTTTTTTGGATCTTTCGGTCTGGACTCTCTATTTTTTTTGCGCGCGTGTAAAAATGCTGGGATCCGCTGGCGAGCCACCTACGTATATGTTGTATTTGGTAGACGTAGGTGTTTGTAGGAGGAACTATTTCCAGCGTTGTTTATCCCAGTCTGAAGGCCGTGTTTCGTCGTAGATTCGACCGCCCTTGTTGTGGACGATTACCGGGGGTTTGCGGACTGGATTGGTTGCTGGGATTCTGCGTTAGCTTGGGGAGATCGGACAGGGATGGCAATTGACGTACTCAGACTTCGGACTTCGGTGGGAACTACCTGGTTGCTGCTTCCTCTGCTTGCTAGCGTGGAGTTGGAGTCGTTGACTTTGTGTGGCATTGTGGTAGGTAGAATGGTTGTGGTTTGGTTGAGATGGAGGTGAAGAGGGATATTAAGGTATTAAAAGAGGTAGAGGTAGAGTAGAGGTAGAGTAGAGGTAGAGAGGCAATGGGATATGTATAGAAAGCTTCAAGCTTGAGGAAGCACACAGTGTTGAACTGTGAGCAGATTATAAAGACAATTAAGTATATATAGACAAAAGATTGGGAAAAGATAAAAATATAAAAAGAACTCAGAAGACAATAGTGTTGATGTTGTTGATATGTTGGTTGGATTGATGAATTGAAGAGGGCAATGACTTCTTTTTGTATAGCAAGCCATTCCACATTGAGCTTCACCCCGATCTACACTCTGGGGAACTTCGAGCTTCCTTAGTGTCAAAAGAGCTCGGAATGGATCATCCCCCCTGACGTATTTTGGTGCCTGGTAATTACAACTGCCACGATTGAATCATTGATTGGTGTAGAAAATAGATGGAAAGTAGGGCAGCCAGTGAGGAAGAAGAGAAATTACTAGGACTGGGGGGAAGAAAATAGAAGTATGTAAAAATACAGTAATATTACCAATAATGATGAGTCAGCCATTCCTTTAATTCCGAATTTCGCAAATTTCACAAATTTACAAAATTGGACTGGTCGTGTAACTAAAAAGAAATGTTGAGATTCCTTCACCGCTAGGATTACTGCGCCAATGGCGGCTGTATAAAGTGCGTGTATATAGGGGACGACTACGGACTACAGCCAGGGGCTTTCCTCACCGCAACTGGAGATCTCCACTATCTCCTACATCACCTATTATTGTATTATTGACACTCATTTTTTCGATGGCCTAAATCCTATTAGGCTCCATCGGAAGATCTGCCCGCCCCGATTCATATAGGGTCATGGGGAAAATAATTATGAAACTTAGGTACATATACATCAGAATGCATAAACAAGTCATAGTAGGGACAGAAAGTGCGTCATTCCATTCAGACCGAGATTCTAGCCCTGGAGTCAACCCTTTCCTGTTCAATCATTTTCCATATACCGGGGCTTCCATAGCAACGCCTAAATCAGAGCGTGTGGATTGCCTGACCCTTGGTCCCGTGGCACATATCCCGTCAGGATTCTAGCCCAGCCCCAAAATCGTAAAGCGTGTTAGCTTCCCCCCTCTCGCTTCATCCGGTCTTGCCACCCGTTCATACTCCGTCGAATTCCTAATGTCCGTCGTGGCGCTTGTAGAGTTGACATCGTGGTGCTGTGAAACGTCGTTACCGGCCGGAACCCGGTGGAGCTCTCGGGTCTCACCTCGTCTGTCCCGGCTGTCCCGTCTGCGGATGTATTGTTGCCGCTCTGTTCCTGCGTCATCGACACCCTGGCAGGTTTCAGGGTTGGTTTTGATGGAGCCGCCAGCCACGTGTAACCATTTGGGTTCGTAGGCTCCAGGGTTGGTCGTGTTGGGACGAGTGGTCGTGGCTGGACACGGTGTGAGGAGAGAGGAGCTGGGACAATGGGTCTTGCCCCTGAGTGTTGGTTCTGTGACGGTGGCCCTTCGTATCTTCCGGGTGGCTGTGGATAGTTAGGCAGAACTGGTTCCCTTTTCTGGAGGGATGGGCCTGCGAAAAAGTTGGATATGCTTGCTTGTGAGAGTCCATCTTTACGACTGGCACTGGGTTTCAGCTTGTTTGGCCCAGCTGCGTTTGTATCTGCATCCGGAGGCTTAGAAGCTGACTGTGCAGGAGGTTCGGGGTTGGCCGCTATGTAATCTCGGGCAGACGTAAAGCCCGACGAGATGGTTGTAGGAATTGTAAACCCTGTCGAGTTATTCATGGTATACCCGGTTGATGAGATGTAGGTGGTCGATTGTGGCCCCTGATTCATGTCTGACCGTCGTCGCTTTGGATTGGGCTCGCCGGAGGCGTCATGAGACGCTGATGTATCCTCGATTTTGCTGCGGTCTTCCTCGCCCTCGGGTGTCCATCGATCGTCCAGCGTCGATGGAAGAAACTCGAGTCCCTTGTACATGTCCTCTAAGGATGGCCGAGGGCGACGCAGAATATCGGCAATTGCATACACCACCTTCTCATGAAGAGACGGCCCCGTTGCCCGAAAGCGTGATTTGGTGAGCTTGGGAGGAAGGAATGGAGTCAAAGTGGTCGCGCCATCTTCTCCTTCTCCTAACCGGGGTTGTCGAATAGGGATACTCAGGTATAACAGGGCCTGTGCTCTTGTCATTGCGACATACAGCAATCGTCTCTCTTCTTCTACCACCTCGGCACGCGAGTGAGGAATGCTCCCGTTGTATACAGCGGGAACAAACACAACTGGCCACTCCAGGCCCTTGGCAGCGTGAATAGTTGATATGGTGACTTTCTCCGTCGGTTTGTCTCCGTCCTTTGCTTCTTCTTTAGTTGTGATCTCCGTAGCCAAGGCTACATTTGCCAGGAACCGAGTGAGAGCCTCCTCGCCAGGATGCGCCTGCTGCTGCTCCACACCTTCGATTACAGGGAGATCCATTTCTTTATCAACCTCCTGCTCTTCAAATGCTGCGACTTCAGTGGCTTGATGCATCAATTCCTTGACATTCGCCCAGCGACTGTCTTCATCAAGGGGATACGTTCTGATGAGATACTCCTGAAATGAGAGACGTTCGGCAATGAATTCAATCAGAATACGTGGAGCCGATGCATCCTCACACTCTTGCAACTTCTGTCTAGATGCTTCAATCAAATTGACTAGAACGCAAAGTCCCTGCTCTGCGGCCTTTTGCAGTTTCTTCTCCGTTGAACGGCGCCCTTGGACAACGTCCTTGATGAAGTTCCACAGCGGAATGTTGGCCTTCTCCGCACCACTAGTCAATTGCTTGATTGTCTCGTCACCAATCCTTCGTGGCGGAACATTCACAATATTCATCAACGCGTCTGAATGTCCCGTGTGGCTCACGACCCTCATATAATTGAGAAGAATCTTGACCTCAGTTCGGTCGAAGAATTTTCGGCCCCCAACCATCTTGTACGGTATACCCGCTCTTCCAAAGGCCGTTTCGATTTGTGTAGACAGCGAAGCCGACCGAAGCAGGACAGCAAAGTCGGACATACGCAGTAGACCGCCGGTCATCGCTGCACATCGCTTGATCTCAAGGACCATCCACTGCGCCTCTGCGTTAGGATTGGGGAGCCGTCTCAGCACAGGTAAGGTTCCGAAGGTGTGCGTAGCTAGGAGTGCTTTTGCAGGGCGACTCGTATCCTGCTCAATCACTTCTTGGGCTGCATTCAAGATAGAGCCCGCAGAACGGTAATTGTCTTCCAAGAGTACAACCGTCGTGTTTGTATATAGCCGCTGCATTCGCTTGAGATTCTGAATCTCTGCAGAACGAAATCCGTAGATGCTTTGATCTGGATCTCCGACGATGGTAATCCGTCTGTTCTTAGATGCAAAAAGGTTCATCAGTTCGTATTGTATAATATTGGTGTCCTGGAACTCATCCACCAAGACGGCCTGCACATTCGAGACACATTGTGGATGCTCTCGGAGCAGATCTCCACATCGTAGAAGGAGGTCATCATAATCCAAGAGATTGGAGGCCGCTAGTGCCGATTCGTATTCACGATAGATATCAACAAGCTCCAACTCCTCTGCCTTGGCTCTATCAGCCAGAGCATCAGGACTAAGTCCATGTGCTTTATGTCGAGAAATTCGGCTTTGCGCCGCCTTGACTTCAATGCTAGATTTCAGTCGTTTAATAGTTCTCTGCGGCCACAATTAGAGAAGAGAAACAATCTGATACAATGGCGAATCATACTCTTATAATTGCACGGGTATCATCCGAATCCGCAATGCCAAATCCCTTCCGTAGGCCGATCAAGTATCCGTACTTGACCAAGTACCGACGACAGATGGAATGGAAAGTGCCGAGAATCAAGCGCGACTCGAGTTTTTCGCCGATAAGCTTTGCGAGTCGCTCGCGCATCTCACGACTGGCTTTGATCGTGAAAGTACAGCAGATAACATCTTGAGGTTCATATCCGTGGTGCGAGAGGAGGTACGCGACGCGCGCGGTCAAGGTTTTTGTTTTGCCTGAGCCGGGTGGTGCGAGTACTTGGAGGATTGACCCCGAGGATGTGACAGCTTCTCGCTGGGCGTGATTCAAGCCATCTAAGATCGGATCCATGACATGTGGGGTGTTTGACCGATGCTCGGGTGCTTGTGAGGAGGAGACGCGAGGAAACGCGAAGTCATGTGACACTTCCGCTCAACATTGGGAAGTCGATTGTTAGAAGAATTAATGGAATTGGGAGTTGCTACTTGTCTCTCAATCGAATATTGATAATTAAGACACAATATGGAATTTGGGGGGCGAATTGTAAGATGGCGTGCCTCGAATGCCTCCGTGGAGTGCATGATTGCGGGGTGAATAGAGGGTTTGGCCAGAGCGTTTTATGTCTTTGTGGCATATAGAAGTCTTATATACTTGTCCTTAACAAGATAGTCTCATGGTATATACTGATGGTCTTCATTCTATTTTTATTATAAGTAAATTCCAACATTGAATGTTTTGATAATGTGCTAAAAATGAATATCTACTCCTTGCTTTGTTTCCATTATACTATAAGAACTGAAATGGATTTCGAGTAATCACTTCCAAAATATAAGCCTTGTGTCAAAGTCCTTAATATATAGACGCTGTGCGGCTTTCTATTCTGTGAAGAGCCTAACTCCACTGTGGAATCACCGAAATTGGCAGGTGCAACGTCAAATTCCACTTAGAAATAGACGAATAGGAAGATTTTTATATAAAATATATAAAATGTCATATATAAAAATGCCAATTAGGGCAGGTCATAATATATAGTATAATGCTATGGCAAGGACTCCGTAATGTAGGCTCGCCTACTCTATGCTTAAGGAAATATTGCATCATTGCTAGACTTCTGTAGAGTTTCGTATATTAAGACAATCTCGATTTCGGAAAATAAAAAGGCCAATCATTTTGTTGTTTGAATAATCAAATCGCTTGGCAAATTCGTCCTGCTAAGCACGGCACGGGATGTGCAAATTCATCATGTACTTGTACGCAGGATCGTAGAGTTTCCAGAATGTAACTCCAGCCACCTACCCAAGTAAACCTCACATTTTCATGGCTTTGGCCAATATGTAAATCTCCAATCTAATTTAGGATGTGTAGTCATTGGGCGTATCTGAAGTATTCGGAGTCCGGAGTCGGAAATTAAGACTTTTGTACAAAAGACAACTAAATGAAACCCCGGACATGAACGTAGTCCCCGTTCCTCGGAGATCGTATGACTCGCTTATAAAATCACCGACCTCTTTTGATGTGTTTCTCTTCCAATCTTCACCGGCAGTGGGCCCGATGTCTCCCGTCGTGCCGGATTCCGACCTGCCTATCTGATACAAGCGCTGAAGCAGAGCGGGACAGGCCCCATGAAGAAAGGATCTCGGGATGCATGTTAAATCTTCCTGCCGTTGAGTTATCAGAGGAATTGGTCATTAGACCGCAAAAGGCAGGTCCGGTAAAGTGCTATGATAGACCTCGCATTCATTTCTGTTTTAGGGCTTACTCGCCACTGTTTTATTTGAGCATAATTCAGGTCACTACGTGGCTCAGGGTCTGGCTCCGGGGTCTTATGCACGCCATGACATCCTAGTTAACCATATATGTACCTATCGAGTCTAAAGGACCACGTATATGCAGAACCTTATCCTTCTCTAAAACAGTTCCAATCAGTTAAGACCTGATAGATCCATCGGTGACTCATTTTTGATGTGTCACTCGCGAGGCATGGGTAAATCCTTAGAGGTTGGTAGTCGCTAACTCGCATATTTGTCCTTAGATACACTGGAGCCTACTGTGGGCCGAACTTGGGCATGTGAAAGTGAAGTTAGCCACTACAGCATCCTAGTCACAAATTCAACCAAATAACTGTAAATATATGAATTTCAACAGTAAGTAGAGATATGAAAGCTGGTGCCACTATAGTTGCTGTGTAGAAAGAAACATGTACGGAGTAGGTCATCTTGATTTCGAAGGCATCATCCGAGAGTTTAGATAAATTTACTCCCTTTGACCCCTCCCTATGCCCGTCTAGTTCTGCTTATCATACTTGAATGCATAAAATGCATAAATTCAATTTTTTTGGGGAGTCCATCTTGTACGGAGTACCAAGAAGCGCCAAATGCAAATCTGGAGAAATAATGAATTGACTGAGCTTTCATGTTTGAACAGCCTACCTATAAATACAAATATTGGCTGCTTGTAAAATCAGCACACAAAAACAGACAAGTCACCAATGTTGGGACCCTAGGTAGACATTAGTATCTTTCTCGCCAGCTCCCAGGGTAATGCACTTACCATATAAACAAGATTCCGGTGAACAATACGCCAAGCACCGGTAGACTGACGTTGCCAGTTATCCTGGTATTGACCATAGGCATAGGCCACATCATTTGCCTTGTCTCCTTTCCCGAAGTGGGCAGCACGGTAGTAAGTAACCGACTTGGCCGTGCTGGGGGACAGTACATCAATCCGCTGTGTACCATACATATGCTGCGTGGATACACATTTCAAACTCGTGCCCAGCACAGATTGAATGTTTTTCAGCGGGGTCAACACGTTGAGGGGCGCCGAGTAGTTGGCTACCGCGTCGGTAGTAAAGACCTTGCTAAGGGCGTCGAAGTCTTTGCCATCAACAGCAAAAGCATACATGGCTAGTGTATTTCGGATTGCTTCGGCCGTACCAGCATCGGTATTGACCTTGGAGGTGTACCCACCGGCAAGGGACGAGATATCGATAGGGGCGATATCGCTGGTCGTGGATGCCACGGCTGAGCTGACGGCGAAAGAGAGGGCGCAGAAAGAAAGGAACTTCATCTTGTTCACAGAAAAACCAAATTTATGTATACAAAGGCAGTGATAGAGTAAAGATGTTGCAATTTATTATTGAAGATGTACCTTATGATACACGAATCTCAATCTCGGTTATGCTTCCCCTGAGATGGATGAAACGAACCGTCTTCGCTTATACAAAAAAATGACCTAATTAGGACGCGGAAAGCTTAGCGTCCCAGATTTCGATAGCCAATATAAGAAGGCAATATAAATTGAATATATTATGGAGAATGCTTTGACAGGACTAAAGGCTTCGCTTCGTCTAAAGCACGAAGTGGAGACGACTAAGGGTATCGGCTGGACGCGACAGTTTTTCGCCAAATTGACGTTAAGTCCACGGGCTGTGGCCAGGGATGTTGAAACGAATGACCCGATTAAAGCTCTAGGCCTGAAAAAGAAAAAGAATTGAAAGAGTATCTCAATACTACGTTCTCCGTACTATGTTGGAAACAAAATTAGTTCCTCCAACGGGTAAATATCGTATTCGGGCCGAAGCGAACTTCCCCCGGATGGATCTGGCCCCCACATATCTGGCCCCCAAGGGACAACAACTTCGCCTTGCTGTAATAGGTCTACATATCCAGGGATCTTATGAATCGTTAATCAGCTTTGTGATCCTGGAAGCGACATACACGAGCTTTCCAAAATATAAAGAGACATATTAGCCCTTTTCCACTAGACCATAGAATCTATTTCTACGCAGATACTTGTTCTTGACGAAATTCCACTCCTCTTCGCTGGAAATGCAACTGTCACCTGTTTACTCCGTACTCCGTACGGAGTACCCGCCTTCCGTTTGCCAGCACATCCCGGTTAGCAGCAGTTCCGCGATCCTCCCGGTATTCGCGAGGCCTTGGTTTATAGAAAAACTCCAGAGCCTCCTCCTCAATCGATAATACAAGACTTGTAACTTACAAAAAGTGACTAACTATGCTCCGTACATATGTACTCCGTTTCCCCCTTTGCGGAAGACAACTATATCAACTATGCACGGGCCATTTTTGGTTATCCACATATGCCAAGGCCCGATTCATTCGACGATCACTACGGAATAGCAACGTAGCAATTTTATTTGCAAACCCCAGCTCAGGGTCGAGTCAAAGTCCGGGTTTGTCCGGAGACTTACTCACAAAAGCATCTAAAACAGGCCCAATACGCAGAGGAAAGTCACAATACTGATGAAAGACACATACGGATAGTAGATATAGATTTCTCAAAAGAGAAGACTATAATAAAAATAAAATGCTTCGGTAACGCTTGTCCTGAATCATGCAAATATATTATCCTAGCTATACTAGTATGTCCAATCGAAAACCACAACACCAATATTATCAGGAGGGTATCATGCTAGAATATGGTCTCTTGAAATGAAGGACGTCTTCCCAAAAAAAAAAGAAATGAAATACATCACGAAAAGATTCCCAAGGGGATCGTCATAGCCACTTCAAAGTTGGGCACGTTGACAACTTCAGCAATCTGCAAGTCACCAGCAACACTAGCAAGAATGTATGCCTCACTACGAGTGAGACCCTTGGTCTGCACCAACCACTGTATAAGATTCCGCGTAGCACTCCTGGTAGCCTCGTACAAGTCAGGCGCAACACCTAGAGCACCGTAGGTTCCAAGATCAGGAAGGGGGTTTGGTATTTGGGCGCGGGGGGGAGTCTGGAATTGCGGAGCCGTCATCCAGGGTTGGTTCTTAATGAGTTCAAAGCGGAGGGTAGCGCGAATGGGTGTTTCGATAGCGGTACCGCAGACCTCACCGTGGCCCTGGGCAGCATGACCGTCACCGCAGCTGAAGAGGGCGCCTGCAGTTTGAACAGGGAGGAAGACAGTGGATCCGACGCTGAGTTCTCGACAGTCCATATTTCCGCCTGCGTTTGTGGGCGGCACGGTTGAGAGTTCTTCGTCATTTGCTGGGGCGAGACCCATGCATCCGAGGAAGGGACGTAAGGGGATTCGCATGTTCTTGAATTGTGCGAAGCCTGCTTCGCGGTTCAGCTCCCAGATCTTGATTTCTGGCTCTGGGAATTCGTCTGCCAGTAGACCGAAGCCTGGGATGATGGCGGACCAACCCCAGTCGGCGACCTGTAGGTCTAGAACTTCCACTTTGAGGACATCGCCGGGTTGGGCGTCGTTCATATAGATTGGGCCGAAGACGGGGTTGGCTAGGCCGAGATCCAATGTCTTGATGGCTGAGGCCTTGGATGACGTGTCGAGTTGGCCATTGCTACTGTCGATGGCATCGAAAGAGACTGTCTCGCCGGAGGAGATGGTGAACTTGGGGGTGTTTCGTCGAGACCATTTTTGGTGGCTACAATCTCTTCCAACGTGGAAGTTACTCCATTCTTTTGGTGCCATGCCGGATGCTTGAGTTGGAGGTCCTTGGGTTCCTATCAGGGTCGTTTGAGAGATACGATATATGAAGAGATAGATGAATCTAATAACGAAAATGTAAAAAATTGGATCAGGGGAAGAAAAAAATTGCCGTGGAACGGGTGATTTTGTATAAAACGTGCTTGAGAGATCCTCTTCAGGATTGACCGTTCTGGAAGGTGGCTAGGTACAACCGGATCTTATGCTTCTTTTTGCCAGCTCCACCCCGAGACTCAGACGCCTGCCTAAAGTGGTTTGACGAATTTCCAACAGATTGGTAACCCCCCCTCTCTCTCTCCCCGGTTGGAACCTCTGGATTTTTCAATAGTCCATTGAACGAAAGAATGCCGAGGCCTCTAGTTGGATAAAACAGCGCCGTAAGCGACAACCTTGTATAGCGGGGATCGGTTACGGAGATGCCGATGACATTTTCAAAATGCTGTAGTCTCGATATAGATATAAAATTCAAATATTTAAATTAAAAAAAAGGGACCTTAGAAAAGCCGAGTAAAACCTAAGTTTCTATCAACCTTGGAACTGCCTAGATTTCCCTGGCTTTCTCCGTATAAAAACGCCACAAATGAATTTATTGGTAAGGGTTTCTGCTTTTTTTTCTTTTTATTTTCACCTGGCTCGGACCAAGTAATGAAAAGAGAAATAGTTAAAATATTTTATAAAAATATTTACCAAAAAAAGAATTAAATATTCATAAAAAATCCAGAATAGTCCAACACCACCTTCTTCATTGGGTAAGGAGCGAACCGTTGATGGTCTGTGAGTGGCACAGCTGCACAACATTTTCCAAGTGGAACTTTTGCTCTAACTATAGGACTACGTTGTATACGGAATTGTGTATTTATCTTTTGTATTGACTATCTATATTTCACGATCCCTGTCCGTCCAACATCGCTACAATGCATGTTGCATTGTCACTATGAGGCCTGCTGGCACTATTGGTAGCAATTTCTTGTGCAATTTCACTCGCTGGTTTTCCCCGCATCGATAACTTCATCACGTGTTGAACCAGGGTCGTGTCATCCACTCGATCGGTAACTCCGTCGGACACCACCAGTAACAGATAACGGCGGTCTGTTCGCAATGTCCGTCGTGACGTATATGGATCATTGGATAGGAAGTCGCCCCGAGTTTCCGGTCGGCTACCAGCCGATGAGGCGGGGTCTGGTACAGGGTTGTCTGTGAATGTATTCACCGGATTCTTGTACTGCAGGTCGCCGAGTGCCCGAGAGATATTCAAGGATCCTATCCCTACGAGTAAGTATTTGATTTTGAGGGCCAATCTCATTCCTAACCCACCAACTCGTTGCGTGCCGTTGCGGTTGATAACTGCACCGCCTGCCTGCTCAATTCGGGACTTTTCTCTGGGAACGCCAGGCTTGTGAGCCTCTGTGAGACGTCGCTGGTGTGTGACTGTCAATATCCACGCTCAAATCAACTCAAATCAACGACAGTGCATACAATGTGATACGGATGCTCAGTTTGTAGGTCCCGCTCGGCCAGGATAACATGCGTGTCACCCAGATTGGAGATGACCAGCTCACCCTTGGTGAGATTAATGCAGCATATTGCCACTGTCGACCCTGAGATGGCAGGCTCGGCCGATTGATACTTGAACGTATCCAACAAAATCCTGTCTTCCTCCGCCAGTGCTGCCTTGATAGCCCCGGCCCAATCATCTCGTGCAAGCTCTGGACGCCGTCCCAGCAGGTGGTGCATAGTGTTATTAACATGTTCTGAAACCAACGCAGAACCGCTGCGGATATTGATTAGTTTGAGACTGGTTTGAAGGACGCACTTCGAGGCTTTCCTTACTGCCCATCATAGACTGCGAAGAATGCAACTTTGTCTTGGCTGTTCGAAGGAAACCTATCTGGAAGAATCAGTGCGCACCGATCCTCTTGATGCTTCCTACCACCCTGGGACTGCCATTTGATTGGTAAGTACAATAGCTGTGCGATGGCCTTGCGTCTTGATACTCACTTGACCAGCCCCGGCATCATATAGCGTGACTGCATCTGAGGGAGACATTGTTTTACGGAACACTTGGTCCCTCATAGCCCTGTGAGCCACAACCATTTTTGGACAGTTGATGTGCAAAGTCAAGTCCTCGTGTCACAGGTAAAAAGGTGTAGGCAACTATAGATGATGATGCACTGACATCATGAACGCCTTCTGCTTTTGACTGATTCTTTATTTACCACTGGTATCCAATTGGTGGCTTTCAATGGCTTCCCCGGAGTCCATTCCTTAACCAGACAATTTGCCAGCGATGTCTGATATTTGACCGGCAATATATACTTTTCCCTCAGGACTTGGGACAGATAGCGTAGTAATTTATCTTCTTTCAGAGGTCTCAATATAAGTCTAATTAATTCCTTGTTAAATATTAAGTATCGCTTTATCAAATAGTAGTTGACTTTTTATTTGACAGACCCTAAAAGTTGTACAACATATAGATCCCATTGATAACGCACGGACCAGCTTCCTCGGCGAATCTGCAAGATCGGAATTCTAATCAGGAACAACCCTCTTAACTCACTTCCTTCATTTTTAGTTCATTTATAACTTAGTTCGGTATGGGCTGGGTAGGTGCGGGCGTGCTTATCGCAACAGCAGCCTACTTTCTCTACCGCTACCCCCCTCGCAGCTGGGCCGAGCCTCGTTCTTTTGCCCCTCCGGAACCCACCCCCGACGCGCCAGTTGCCGCTGCCACCGCAGACGATACTGTGCCGCGGAAGCATGGCTCAGGGGTCACAACACCATCGATAGAGACAAAGGAGGAGGAGGATGATTCCCAGAGTACACCCAAGGCTGCGGCTTCGAGCGCACCACCTCCTGTCCTTGCAGTCCCTACGTTCAGCCTGGAGAGCGGCGAGCGCGAGACGTCGCAACCCGCCCTGGTACCATCCAGTTCGCAACCCATAAATGGGACAGCAAAGCAAGCGCCGTCGACAAACCGTGATAATGCAGCACCAAAGTTCCAACCGCCACCGCAGCCATCTCTCGCGCCGCCTCCAAAACCACAACCATCATCTCTACCTCCGAAGGCAACAACTACCGGCGCCTCTTCCCTAATGCCTCCACCCCCAGTGCCACGGCTCCGATCAACACCTCAAACGAACCGCCTTGCCCCCACAAGCTCGCTCCAACCCCCGCGACTCAGCGGCAACTCCCTTCGGCCTCCACCATCAGCCGCCGCCGCTCAACGCGGCCTTGCCCCAACGAACAGCGGCAGCCGTCTGAGCAATAGCACCCTCGCCCCGACACAAGTATCTCTGAAGAAGTCCTCGGGTAAGGTGGTTCTTGAACCTGGATTCTCACCCCTTGACTGGGCAGCACGGGCAGCGAACCCGAAGAACAACCTCCGCGGCGAAGGCCTTCCCCCAGGCCTGTTGCGGGTCACGCCGTCAATGCTGAAGGAGCAGCATGGCCGCAAGGGTCGGGATGCCTGGACTTCATACCACGGAAAGGTGTACAACATCTCGCCCTACGCCCCTTACCATCCAGGTGGAAAGGGTGAGCTCCTCCGTGGCGCGGGGAAGGACTCTGCACAGCTGTTCCAGGAGATCCATCCGTGGGTCAACTGGGAGGGGATCCTCGGCGAGTGTCTAGTCGGAATTCTAGTTTCGGAGCATGATACTCAGGCCGAGAATGCTTTGGATGCGATGGACTAATACTTGATTGCTGTTTTACTTTGTAATTGTTCGGTTTGTATACTGTGTACATCTTACCATATATAGAAGAGATACCCTGCTGCTATATTATATACTCGCATGCGAAAAGGTGTGTATTTGTTCTTGGCCAGATATAATGGCCTGAGATTCCCTCGAATCACATAGATAGGTATCAAGCACCGCTTCAAAGCTCATCCTTCACACCATCAATACCGACCAACTCGGTCTCAAACACCAGCGTCGCACCGCCGGGAATAGGACCAATACCGCGGTCGCCGTAGCCGAACTCAGGAGGGATAGTCAGCGTGCGCTTCTCGCCAATGCACATATCCAGCAAGCCCTGGTCCCATCTGTATACAACACGAATCAGCTTCCACTTCCATATAACCAAGATAATGAGGATGTTTGTTGGCAGCAAACAACCCAGATAGCTTCGAACTCACCCCTTGATGACACGACCGGTACCCAGCTTGAAGGACAAAGGAGCTTTGCGCTTGTAGCTGGAATCGAACTCAGATCCATCGGACTGCAAAGTGCCGCGGTAGTGCATGTCGACTCCGTCGCCGTTGGTGGTCTTGCGGGTGCACTCGACAGCGTGGGTGACTTCGATGCCGAGTTCGGCGGCGGCCGCGAGGGAGCCGAGGGCTGCGACGAGGATGGAGGTGAGACGCATTGTGTATGTATGGTGTGGATTTGGAGGGGAATTGGAGAGACGAGGAGTTTGGGGATGTGGACAGATAAGGAGATTAGACGGAGCTTTAGCGTTGGTCTGTGCTTTAAGCTTATGGTTTAAATGTTTACGTCTGTAGTTGTTCATGGCTTTGTTGCAAGGTATTTATTGTTTATTGCTACATATATATTGCTTCTAGAGTAGATAAGAGGGGGGCCTTCTAGACACCAATTGGTATGGATTACAAGACGCCGAAGGAAGAAAAGGTTAGATGTATACTTAGCTGGCTGTAACGATGTTACATGTAGTAACTTCAGGCTATGATTTTCTGTTATTATTGACTACATTATGCGGATATCCCGCTATTGTTTTACCTAAACAATTGAGATATGAGACACTGTTGGTTTCGGGGTCATCTGGGATGTCATGACATGCCCATCCCTGACCATCTGCGATTGCCATGCACCGAGAGCCCTTCTAACCCCTCACCGCTCGGTTCACGACTCTAGCATCACTAGGACGGCCTGGAATCATGACCTGACCAGCAGCCGCTTGCAAATCATCCTCGCCCATATCGCCATCCCAGCCATTGGCAACAAGGTAAGCACGGAACTTCTCATCGCGCAACCTCAAATCTTCGCCCGTCAAATCAGGCACAAAGAGGAAAGTAACCAAAACCCCCACAACGCCACAAATAGCAGCAATGATGAAAGTCCACTTGTTCCCTAGATTATTCTTGATGGGCTGAAACGCTTGCGTACCGACAGCAGCACCCGCCTTGCCGATAGCTGCAGAGAGTCCATAACAAGTCCCCCGCACACCGGTAGCATACGACTCAGACGAAAGCAGGCCGAGCATATTGCCCGGACCAAAATTGCCCGAGCTCTGCATCAGTCCGTAGAAGACGACGAAGAGAGGCACGATCTTAGTAATGCGGTCGTAGGCGCAGCCGATAATCAGGCCAAAGATCAGGTATCCGCTGAAACCGATCATCATGATGGGCTTGCGCCCAAGACGGTCGCAGAGAATGGCACCGAGGAAGACGCCTGGTAGTGCGATTGCGCCGAGGAGGAGCTGCCATTCGCCTGTTTTCAGGATTGTGCCGTCGTGCACGACCGAGGAGATGATTGTACCCGAGAAGACGCCATTGGGGAAAGTGACAAAGTCTATACGTGTTAGATTTCACACAGGCCCTATGGATATGGAAGGCTTACCGTAGAGGAACCAAGCACCGCAAGTTCCAATCAATGATTTCCAGTAATACCGCAGCACGAGCATGTAGGGTACGTGCTTCTTGATCGCTCCTCGTCGGTACAAAACTGAGTTCAGCATGCGGATCCGGAAGTAGAATACTGACATCGGCCAGACGCATCCTATGCCAAAGCACACCCGCCACACGGTGCTGTAGTGGGACTGTTGGCAGGCCATGAGTACGATCAAGAAGATCGAGACTGCGAATGGGCCCCCGAATGACAGGGGGAAGTTGGTTACCATGATGAATGCCGGGCCACGGTGCTTCGGGGTTAGATCATTTGCTGCTTCCGAGGCGGAAGTTGAAGAGGCCGGATACTCGCCACCGGCGCCTGGATATAGTTAGTAGAGTAACTATATTGGAATGATGTTGGGAAATGCAAGCAACGCGAATACGTTGAGTTTGACTTACCGAACCCGACAACGCCACGGGCAACCGTCATCATCCAGAACATCCCGTCGATGGTAACCCCATGGGAGGCTGTAGCGAGAATACCTCCGACAACAATCATAAGAGTCGTGAAGACGATAGCGGTCTTACGACCGAGATAGTCGCAAGTCAGTCTGGTACAGTATAGTCAGTCGCCAGAACCCTTCCATGGCCATAACCTTCAGTGGCGTGTCTGTACCCAATAACAACCTGTCCAATAACTTCGCCGACGAGTAGAGCATTCGAAACGCGCGTGCTGACGGTGGTAGTGTACTCATTGGGATATTCCTTCTTGAGGAGGACATTGGTCATAGTCCTGTGAGATGATCATTGGTTAGACACAGTCGTGCATGGGATCAATCACTCGTCCCACATCAGATTGTTTTGGTATCCATCGCTGACCAGAGCGAAGCCGCTTGCAAACTATTAAACATCCGGTTTATCAGTCTATCAGTTGCTAAGATTGAATCCCGAGTGTGCGGGGAAACAAAAGATGGCCTGGTATGTATAGGCTGGGAAGATGCACTCACGATAGTAAAGAGGTCTGACAGGCTCTGTTGCTTCAACGGCGTAGCAGAATGAGCAGGGTCATCTTGGACAATAGTGCCTTGAGTAGCAACTTTGGACTCATCGCATCCAGGAAGCGCGGTCAAGCTGCGTGCCGAAGCCATTTCGACTTGGGAGATGGTTTGGGAAAAGTTTTGGACTGTGTGTAGCCCTTTCAGGTAGGACCAGAAAAAAGCAGGGGTGTCAAGCACCCCTGGGATTTCCCTATTTATTTCAGTCTCGACCTGTTGTACAAGTAGGAGCGGGGAACCCCAGGAACTAGCCTTACAAGGGAAATGTTTAACCGTCCACTGAACTAAGAATTAAGCCAATGGCTTATCTATGGCTTTGAGGCTTGGTATGCCTCGGATGCCAAGTATTTTTACATGGGTTATATAGATATAAAAGATTGATCTTGCTGAACCTAGGTCTACTACTGGTTATGCTATATGTGTCTATTGCTACTTCTCGACTATTGAATGGTTCTGATAGTTTTGTTCATGGGCAAATATGATACATTCGCTAAAGTAACGCCTTATATGATGGCTAAAACTGGCCGGGATCCCGTGGGTATCACAGATGCAGAAACGATATGTGACCATAAAATAAAATTTTTGACAAAGTAAAGCAAAGACATGACGCATTATTGGGAAGAAAAATGTTTTTTAATCATCAAAGCAAGAGAGGTACCTCTATGCCCATTTTCCTAGCAAAGCCATGAGAGCAGCTCCGGCACAAAGAAGGAAGAAAGCAACCAGCACGTCCCGGATGGGAGCCTTGCGCATGGAGTGGCTGAACATAAACTCATGCGCCATCAGCTCAACAAGGGCAGTATAAATGAGGATGCCAGCGGAGATAGAGTCAAAGACACCGTTAACGATGAGGGTGGTTCGCCCGGTAGGCGGGTAGCTGTTTCGAACACCCAAGCCAATAGCAATGGCAATGGGAGTTGAGATTCCAAAGGCAAAGCCTAGGAAGTAGGGAGTGTTGCGCTTCGATTTGGGCCAAGGAATCGTAGCGAGACGAGAACCAAGACCAAGTCCTTCAAAGGTTTGATGGAAGACGAGCACAATGTAAAGGGTAGTGAACTCGGCGCCTGAAACAGCAAGAGTAAGACCAATGAAAACAGAGTGGAAGATGATACCGAACTCCAGGATGAAGATCGAAGTGAGTTGGGCGGCATAGTCCTCAGCCGCTTGAACGTCGTTTTCGGAGTCGCTGTTATCGTGATGCTCACGGGAATGACCAAGGTGATCCTCCCCTGGCATGTGGTGCTTCGTCTCAGACGCTTGATTGACAATAGAGCTGTCATCGAGCGGGGTGTGGGTGTTGCCTTCCTCGTCGTGCACATGGCCTTGACCGAAGCGCGAGAAACGCATAACCATCAACTCCACAAAGAACAGAACAATAATGGTCATGAGGATGATGCCCTCCACCCAGCTGTATTCAGTAATTGGGCCGGTCAAGCACTCATTCTTCAGTGCCTCCTCCGCCGGACCCAATAGATGAATGAAAGCAGTGGCAATGATCACACCGGATCCGAAGTATTTGGCGATGAAAAAGGCCCATTTGGGAAATCCACCTTTTTGGCTAAAGCGACGGGCGAAGACCGGGAAAATCGCACCAAACATGGATCCAACCATGATCACAAAGATGGAGGAGATTCGCAGGCCCATCCGGCCGTCGAACTCATTCCCGGACTCACAAGCATCCTCGCGCTTGAGGAGAGCGGAGTATGATTCCATTGAGATTGATTAATGGTGACAGAAGAAGTATGGAAGAAGTGTTAATGTTGGAAAATAAGGTCCGTGGGACAAATGAAGTGCACAGATAGGAGAAAGGGTAGATAATCGTGCAATTGACCCAGTTGACAAGAGAAGGATTTGTGATCAAGTTGAGGTGAGAAGAATACGTTCGATGACCGCAAACTTGTAGCGGGGGTGTGCGGGAAGCTAGTTGACCGCAATCCCCAAGGTCCTCGATGGTAGGCGAGATGCGACACTAGTCCACTGATCACGCATAAAATCACCAGGAGATCCTGACAATCGCCAAAGTTTAGGGATGCTGATTCGAACAGAAGATATCAAGAAGGAAATAAGGGCTTCCTCTTCTGACGGCACGTGTATATGAGTCGCACGGACACAGTGAATCGCACGGTGCAAACTTTTGGGGTTTCTCGTTGAAATGAGTACCCTGGGAGCAAGGCCGGAAAATTCAGCCGATGTAGATAAGAGTCAATGACTTGCTTCAAAATAAGGGGCACAATCAAAATCAAATCAAAATTTGCGGGATCTTTCTGGTTATATTAATCAACAGCGACAGTATTGGAGGGGATCCATGGGGACCTTGGGAGCGCGAAGACGTCAAGGATGGAGTTTTTACACTGTCTGAGACTAGTACCAGGTACTTGGGGACCCATACAATTATAGGTGTAACCGAAAGTACCCGGTACTTAAGACTAGCGCGTTGAGGACCTTGGGGACGGTTTCCAGAGTTCCGATTGCGGTGATTAGGTCACGTGTACTCCGTACAGGCGATAGGGTCCTCATCATGTCTTGATATTTGCATCATATTTTTGTTTTTGATAGAACAAGAGGAATATTGATAGATTGGAAGGGAGTTGAAGGAACGTACTTGGTGGCCCCCTTGACAAACATCCCTTTCAGCCCTTTCAGGCGTTTCGATCGCCAATCAGAGGATCAGCGCCAAACGCGCTTGGCATGACACCTTGAGGTCATATGCCATTTGACCACGCCCTTGTGCAGCACATTCGAACATGGCGCCCATTCGACGATACCTCCGCATTAGCAAATACTCAGTACTGGAATGTCGCATTTATCTAGAATCTCCATCTGATTCAAGGTGGCTCTTGGACTCGCGTGATCCTGTCCTGCCCCGCGTTATCGCTGCCGTTCGACCGTTGGTCCTTCCGAAGCTGCGTGAAGAGAACGAGCGACTGTTCTTGCGCAAGAAGGGCAAGCCGGTCAAAGATGTCATTGTAGAAGGTATAGATCACTCGATATATCTCGCATAACGAACCGAGTATTTTAACACATTACCTAGATGACTTCGAAGTGGCCATCTTCCTCCGCGAATCCCGTACCCGCCATTCGCTCCTCACGCGCAACAAGACATTACACGGAAAGGAAAATAAAGTTCAAGAGTCGAACATAGAAGTCAAATCAGACAATGTCTCGGGGGATACGGCTGCCAACCCGGTTAATGCGGCAGATGGCGAAATTATGATCGAGAGTGACAGTGAACCTGACCTGGAACTGCACAATATTCCCGAATCCTCGGACGAAGTGGCACTGGGAAACGGACGCCGATCAAGCAGGAGAAGTCGGACAACCAAGGAAGACCGGGCGCCACTCGAAGACACGACTGGCAGTGATGACAAGAAGCTTCGTTTCAGCACCCACTATGAGAGCTTCAATATATATGGATGGGTTTTATGTCTGTTGATAACCCGAAAGCGTGACAAAGGCGGCTCAAAAGCTGTGGCATCCGAGCCACATCGGCAACCTCTGATGGAAGAATGGATTTCAACTCAGGCTCAGGCGTCTATCGACGATTGATCCAAATTAGGTCGTGAGTGTAGACCTTGCGATGCTCAATGTGGCAGGGATCTTGCTTACGGTTAAGCTTGCTCAACCTCGTACTGCGAGTAGCCGTGGTGGGGGTGATCAGTCGTAAAGGGACCCATGACACCGCCACTGCCAGTTTGGAATGCTCCCAAAATTATTGGTGATGTATTTTGTTTCAACCTGCAAACGCTACGAGATTGTGCTTTGATTTGGCCGTCTCGCAAACTCTGTGTCAGAGACTTTGTCTCATGTTATCAAAATCATGAGCTCACAGACGTACGTCGACTCCAGAGTATACGAGGCTAGGTGTCACTTAGAAGAGCACAAGACCTTCCTATTACCGGGCCGCGGCAGGACTCGCACTGTGTAATGTTGTGGTCGGCAAGTGGGTGTCACCGAAGACCAGGGTCACACCAGTGGCCGACTGTCATACTCCCCGGATGACTTCGTCAGGCACGGTGCTAGGTAGACAGAGCCGCTGAGACGTAAATATCAGCCACGGGGCCCCAAGCGCAGCAACCAGTGACATCTCGATGATCTGCATACCATAAGACATGGTCTGATATTGGCTTTTCTACATGGATCTCTGTTTGTATGTTTCGGTTGCATTCATGACATTCTACGACAATACGGACAAGAACATGAAACTAGTTTTTCTCACATATTCCAATTCCCTCGGAGACATTTCGATTCCACCCGATCTGAAAATCCCCATGTGGTGATTCTCCCAACCTCGGGCCGCAACTTCCAGAAGGCAAGCTAGAAGATTTTCAAGTGGAGCTCAACTTGAAACAGCCCGTCTCCATCTTATCCCGTGACCCCAACACCTTCTCAATGGAGAAGTATTTTAATCCCGATGTGCTGGTTTCGGGAGCATCGTCCATTACTCCGTCCAGTACGGAGTACTCCGTACCAAAACTAATCCAAATTCCACATGGGTTGATTTTTTTTTCTATATGACTATACTCGATATTGTTTAGCATATCTGCATATCTACCCAAGCACTAGAATACCTTGGCCTCTTAAATCAACCAATAAACATGCTATATTGAATATCTCAAACCGATCGTGCTCCGATCAGGGGCAATTCCCGATCTGTTTAACACAGTCATAAATCTCCGACTCTCCACAGCCTTTTTTTTTCTTTTCCAACGGTGCGGAACGGTATGAAATTCAAGTGGAGTCGACTTTACCTAACTAGGATTATTGAAGTTTGCGGTCCGCTAGTTCATGGCTAGAGTTTTTCTTCCCATGTGTTTTCTTTTTTTGCCACTCCCACTTTTTTTCCTTTTCCCCTTTCTTCCTTTCTTGGTTCCCCGGGCTTTAGTTCAGGTACACCCGTGTGGTCGCATATATTTTGCCACTTGACACCCCACTTATGTCTCAACTTTTTTTCAGATACAATGCGGTTTCTAATATAGTTCCAATTATTATATAACATTTGCAATTCCTTCTACCTGCCCAGTTTGAACATATGCGGGGTTTGGCAAATCCCGAATGATACCGTGATGCTGTGATATACCCGAACTTAGGGCATAACATTAGGTCAGTCTTACTACATATGGTCTTACTATATAGAGCAAAGTGCATTTATGTGGATTTCCGAAGTACAATATACTTACTTAGGTTTATAAAAGTGCCGTGATTAAAAGGTTGAAAACAAGGAAGACCGCGGATGTAACGGGAGACCATTGCATTATTTAGGGGCCCGGGATAATTTCCGGGGAAGACTGTTATCATTCCGAAGCTAGGGAATTTCCTTCAAGTAGTACATAGTAGCAGTCTGTCTGATATATTTACACATCCAGTTCACGAACACATTTAACAGAAGTAACCGCTACCCATAGTGAGCACGCCATGAACGCCACACCAGGGGGTGAAGTAGATCTCCCATCGTGAAACCTAAGGCCCAGTGATGTGCACAATGCAACCACTAACAGAAGAGGGGAAAAAAAAAGTTGAACAAACCCCTCTCGATGCAATCTGTAATATTAGCCAATAATCATGAGGACTGGGGTCATATATTGCATACAAGGATCCATCTTTCTCCAGATGTGCTACGACGCTGTTCTGCATACTTTTGAAATGATGATGTGCAATGCACAGTCCTCTGCAGGAAGACGATCCTGGCCAGGGACTGTCAGCCACAATATTACTATAGGCGGAGGTTAATCGGCTCTGTACTCCGTTGAATAATGTACGCTAAACGACTCAAAATTCGGCATCTATTCGTATTACATGTTGTTATTAGAACCCCGGAGGGCCTAAGCGGGAAGTAGTAAATGATAAGGAAAAGGGGATGGAGTACTCCGTACGGAGTATGGAGTACAACATACAATATAGGTAATTTGGAATAATAGCCGAAGTACATGCAACGTATGGAGTACTAAAAGCGAAACCCGTTAGAACTTCCCAATATCAATTACCCCAAAGGGTTCTATTCTTGTATGTCTCAACCATGGCTTTATTTTGTTTGGTAGGACGGGTAAAAAACCACGGTTCAAAATGGGTCCTCGATTGGAGGCTTCAACCTTTCATTTTCTATTTTTTTTCTTCTATTTTTTTGTTGTAGCCCCTGGGCCCGTACCACCCTGGTCGTTGATATCTGAATATTTATACGATGTGCATATGTACCCTGGTTAAGTTGGCGTATATATACATGATATATCATATCTGTGTAAGAGATGTCAGGAACGAATCCGTGGGATGAACGGCTTATTCTTATTCTGTAATCCCAGCATTCTGGGATCTCGGCTGTCACGCCCTATTAGCGTGTAATTAATACGAATCGGCCATCCCGTTTGACCCTAAATCGACGAAAGAAAATAATAGAAAAATCTTCCAAAGTTATTTTCTTTTTCTTTTAGCTTAGTTTTCTTTTCTTTTTTTTTGCTTTTTTTTTTTTTTTTCTTTTTTTCCCACTAACACTGGGATCTACAAACATGCACGTGTTTTGACCTGACGTCTTGTTCTCTCCCGTTGAGTCATACAGGATCAAATGTGCTTGGACCTATGTCGATTATCATGTTCCAACAGGTTGTACAACTAATAAAAAGAAATATTCAAAAAAGAAATTAGAAAATAGGAAAAAAAGATAGTTGTTCTCACCGCATCAAGGAACCGTCCCTATGGAGCCTTGGTGGGCCCACGGGAGATTGCCCTTTACCAGTTGTCATCTCGCGTGGTTTCATGATTTACTGTACATACAGAGGGGTTGTGAGACCTAAGCAGAATATTAGAATAGCTGCATAGTTAAGCGATGTACCCTGGACTTCAATTTGTACTAGGTATATAGTGAGGTAACACGACATATATGTTTGATTACTATGTCTCATTTCCCTCCACTCTTCCTCCACTAGTGGTTCACAGAAAACACATTGCGCCACAACAGAAGAAGTGGAGAGCTTCTAGAAAAAAATGGGAATTTTCTATTGGATTACCAATTGGGGCTGCATTATTCATCCGTTGCCTTGCCCGAGGCCAAGTCGAGCAAGTAAATCGCATTAAATTCCTACGTCAGATCAGGTGGATACTCAGCCTCCTGTTCATGGCAGGGATGTTCGATGGGGATTTTAGCTAATTTAGTCTGTAATAGTGACGGTTGACCGGAAAGGTTCTGGGGGGGAGACATTTATTTCTATAAGAATCCTCCTCCCGTAACCTTTTTTTTCTTCCCCTTCTCTCCATCCACTTTACTCTACTCTACACCATATTCTGCTCCGTCCTACTAGCTTCCTTGGTCTATTCCAATCTGTTGTCAATACAACTACTCTCAACCTTCAAACCTTTCACAATCCACGATGCCTTCCGTCGGAACTTCTCAATTCCCTCCATGCCCCGGTCCTCCTCCTAAGGGTCCTCTGCCTCCGCTTCCAAAATAAACAGTCCACTGTCCCCTCTTCTCAACGAATATGATGACCCCGGCGCATTCTGGTCCGCCAGATCCGCCCACGACCCGGACCCTCAGCATGGATATTATGACTTCGACTTCGACCTAGTTTCGACTCTCACTTGCGATTCTTTGTTTTCGATTCGGACTTTCAACACCTAATTTACACCACGGTCCGCCCAAACAAAACACGCCCTTGCTTAAAGATGGCCTTGAGACCGACAATGCAAAGAGCGCTAGCTCTACCACCGTCTATGCTTGCCTCTGCGCATTCTAATTTAATGATGCATGCATCGCTAGCCACAGGTTCATGCGTGTGGTGAAAAACTTGTTTCGAATGGGCCTCGGACAATTTTCTTTAATTCTCATTTTTGGGATTCACTTTTCTTTTTCTTTGTTCTCTCGCTCTTCAGCAACTTCACTCTTCCCGCTATGGGACCCGGCGCCGGCGCTACTCCCCTCGACGTGCATTAATAGCCTTTCTATTTCTTGCTCTTTGTCTCTCCACCCCCGACATCGTTGATCACGTCCTGGTCTCCTGAGGGGGTTTTCATTTCACTCTTTCGATCTTGGCCCATCTACGACGCGCAGATGCGGAGAAAGATGCAGCTCCTCGCTGTACGTTAATTGGACAATGCGCATCCAGTTTACAACCCCTGTCTACTGGCTAGGACCAACTGGGGTTGCCTTGTGATCGTCACCATATCATTGATCGGGTGCATATTGTCCCCTTTTCTTTTCTTTTCTACTGTCTGCCGATGTGACCTGTCATTCTGATTGTTTGAACGTCTTTCTAATTCTCTTTTTTTGGTTTCTTTTTTTTTCCTCCTGCATCTGGCCGAATCTGAATCGATATGTATCATAGACTTAGTATACCCAACAGAGCAATTTGTCTTTCTTTACAACGTTTCAAGTATTTAATTGCTTACGCTCCACGTACTCCGTATATGTCGTGCATAAAGTAGAAATGGGGGCTGCGGGTGACACCCACCTGACCGCCCGTTTCACTAACTAGCCGGCATCCCGCACAAAATCACTAGCAGTGAAGCTAGCAGGGATCTCACCAAGGCGGGTGTCGCGGTAGTCCAATTGACGCAAATTTCACCCATAAATCAATAATATACCAGATACGAGCGAGCTGAAATATACACGTCAGGATGACTCATTAAACAGTTGGGAGACCAGACCCATTTATTAGACCTCCATAGTGTATGCCATCCATGCATTTCTTCCATAAGATTTGAGGTAACACCGATCTGACGCGAGCCTTATCGAGCCTCCCATTATGATTTACAGCGCATTTGTCGGATCCGGTATAATGCATGGCCCATATATTATCCCGCATGGTCGCCGCATGGCTGGAAATGATTGGATATCATATACACCATATCCTGACTCAAACATAGCGTTAAGATCACACCATACTATCTAACACGGTTGTATGCATACATCCCAAACGGGAATTCAACGTTGGCCAGACTAGGACATATCGGTAATATCCTTGTGCATATTTAGCTCGTAATATGAACGGCTAAACGCTAAACGGCCGAGTGGAGGAAGGAAGTAAGATACGAGTTTGGCCGTCCGAGCACCTCGGGATTTGCTAACCATATTGGTGCGGGTCGTATACCTCAGTGCTGTTATGACTGCTAAAAAAAAGGAGGTTAGGCCTTTGTTGACATTCTCGGGTATAGTACGGAGTAGTTGGGTCAACATATGCTCCATGCTCAAGTTAATTCTCCACAGGCATTATCGATATCACATTTGAGCAGTGGCTCCAATTTCATTTCGAACACAACCTGATGATGTTGATTAGGTTATGATTACTACGGTCTAGAACGGTAGGCGTGCAAGGATTCTCGTTGGCCGTTGGCCCATCACTTGACCGATATAGTTGCATGTTGTCGTCATTGAAGAAATGCCGATAATCTACGTCCAATGGATCTTGCAGATTGTATACTCAAGGTTTCTTCCAAGGTTTCCCCGCTTCTACCTACCCCTCAATCCCGATACACTTTGTTTTATCCATGGATTATCCATGACTTCTTCCAAGGTTCCTATCAAATTGACTTTTTCTTATTTGTTTCATTTCAATTGTTCAAAAAGGAAGCTAGTCTATCTTGGTGAGATCAAGTGACCAAAGTAAGCTTTCGGCCGCAAGGCTCTCGGATCTTGCCCTGATTATCTCCATAAAATCAATGAATAATGGAGTTTTGACCTCTGTCTCAGGGGATGTCCGTGCTTCTTAAAATAACCCTGGAACCTTCCTTCCAAGGAACCGGGTTAACAACTTTGTGGCTGTCAGCCCTGGGACATGTAACCACGTGCATAGAATGAGGTCATTCGCTGGGTATATCACTCTAATCGGAGATATAATAATCAAGTACCTAATAGGAACCTCGTGATCTATAGGGCCAAGGATCCTGTTTTAGGCAGATACGAACCATGCGAGAAATAGCGGTATACAATAGATGTGTTGGGCACCACGCTATTGCTGGTTTTCAGCGCTTTGGGCTGTGCTATGAGAAGCGGTGAATTTGGAAATTGAGGCTCTTAAGGTTCTAGATGGCCTGCGTCGTATGACTGAGCCCCGTTGAGCTTTGATCGCGATACCTTTTGCCCGGGCTGAGCGAGATTGTTGCCCGGAAGACCGGATCGAGTAGGCTATTAAGCCAAAGTGGAAGATATATCCTATACGTTCTGGGATTACGTATAGTTAGGCTATCAGCAATCTATTGAAAACAAGATACTGAGCTAATTATCAAAGATTTGGGTGAAATGAAATGGCGTTGCCTAGCTCGTAATTTAAGCCACATCTTGGTTTATTTGCTGGCTTCTAAGAAGCTTGCGATTTAGCGTGACACTTCGTCTTATTTCTATTTATTTTTATTTTGACTTTCGGGATGTTGAAATGGCATTTGGCCGTGTAAGTTACTATATACAGCTATACATCGTGGTATAGCTAAACGAGAGCGAACCATTTTGGAAACGAGAAAGGGAATTATTTGTTTTTTTATGAAGAATCCTACATACAGACCATCTAACAACTCCATCGCTATGAATAAACACATTACATTTTGTAGTCAGTAGAAGCCAGATATCTTCTATGTTTCCAAGGTTGTATATAGAAACCGAGGATAAACACACGTGATTCGCCCGTCCAAATCAATCACAGCCGTCCCTTCTCCTCCAAGTGCAAAGCCACCATGGTACTACAATTGCATGTATGGGGCCCGGCCTTTTCCCTGCCCTCAATTGACGCGCAATGTCTTGCTGCAATTGCATATTGTTCCGAAGTCCTCCCTAAGGACTCGTGGGAGCTAATCGCGAGCAGCGATCCCTCCGTGTCCCCAACAGGTTAGTGACGTGACCGGAACAAAAAAAAGACAACACCAGAATCAGACAGCTAACAAGATATTCACAAATAGGTGAGCTTCCAGCTCTTCAGAATGGCTCTATCTGGGTGAGCCGGTTCCGCAATATCGTCGACTACCTCCACCAATACTCGGAGGGAGCATGGAACTTGGATCAAGACTTAGACGACGTGCAAAAAGCCGATAGCGTTGCGTACGCCCCCCATCCTCCTAAACTGGTGCGAGAAACACAAAATACTAACACCCAATGCTCCCCCCAGCTTCTCCTCCTTCATCGAATCCCGCGGCCAATCCCTCATCGACCTCTCCCTCTACGTAACCAGCCAGAACTACTACGCCAACACATCCCCAGCCTACGGCTCTCTCCTCCAATGGCCAAACCAATGGATTCTCCCACCCAAGCTCCACAGCGCCGCCAAAACCCGCACCGAACACCTCGGCTTATCCTCGCTAGACCTACAAGCAATGGAAGACCAGCGCAAACGCGAGCACTCCGCCGCCGTGGCAGCCGGCCAAGTCCCTAGCACCATGATCCAGCCGCCCCGCGACACAGTCTCCAAACTCCTCGGCCGCACAGTACAAACCAACCAGTTCCGCCTGGAAGCCCTAACAGCCGACTTCTTCGAGCCGCTCGAAGCAATGCTCGCCCGCACCAAAACCTGTCTGCTCCCCGCCGACGACAAAAACAACCCCTCCTCATTGGACTGCGTCGCGTTGGGCTACCTATCGCTAGCACTCGTACCGGAGCTAGCCTTCCCCTGGCTGCGCGACGCGATGCGCGCCAAGGCTCCGCTGCTGGCGGCGTACACGGAGCGCATGCGCAGCCGCTGTTTCGGTGACGCGCCTGTCGAGACTAAACATGCTTTCCAGCCGACGACGCCCACTTTCCTGCCGTGGCGCGCACCTGAGCGTATCTCCGTCGCTGCTGTCGGGACTACCCTCCTCGGCACGCTGGCGGATAATACGCCGTTCTTGCGTGAGGTGCGCCAGAATAGGCGGTTGAAACAGGCTGTTGAGGCTGATTCGGAGTTTAGCTCTGTTGAGAAACAGGTACTGTCTTCGTATGCGGACTCAAGTAATAAGGATATGTTGCTGTCTATTGCGACTGCTGTGGCGGGGACGGCTGCTCTCGTTGGGTATATGGTCCATGTGGGCTTGATTTCTTTTTCAACTGGAGGTGTCCAGGAAGAAGAGGAGTTTGATGAAGGTGCGGGTGTGTTGCAGCTTGACCCTGGGTCTGCGGCTGACTTCCTGGGCGCGTTCTAAGCGTTGTGTCTGGTTCCCTAGATGTCACAGGGTCGGTGTTTTGATTACTATATAAGGTGAAAGCGAAGACTGTACGATATCATTGCGTTCTGTCCTTTGTTCTTGTGCTGGTTCCTCGCCACATCAAATCTTCAGGTCTTTGATCTGGTCTTCTACTTGAAACATCTCTTTTGTTATTAGCCTTATAATCGAATTCAGAAGAACTTATATTTCTTTACTGATGGTAAATCGAGTCAAAGAAAGCCTTGGAAATATCCCATTTTCGGTGGACGTTACTGCATGTATGCTGGCATTCCTCGGAAGCCCTAACTTTGAACTTGGCACGTCAGCCATGGAAATTCTTGAGAATGCTCAAATAGTGACCTGGGGTCATAGTTCTAGACATTGAAGTTCTGGGGTCAACCTTTCCATATTCAACAATTTGGACTTCATTGGCCAATATGTCAACACTATAAACAAAACATGCACGGATGCTTACTTTAACTTCATGCACGACATACAAGGTAGCGCCAAAGGATCATATCACATTGACTTTGGGGTAGTGAGACTTGGCAATAGAGAAGGGTTCGTTTCAGGTTTATGACTGACGAAACGGCGCCGGCGCTAACGACATTGAGATTACACAGATAGGGGATAGTGGACCGATGGTATACTGGGGTTAGAGATCCATATATAGGTATCGGCGCTTATTGGCCATTAGATAGATAAATTTACATAGAACTTCTAGAAAGGAAAAAAGGAAAAATATCAACTCTCAATCAAATGGTATATGTACAGAGAATAGGATGAAAGAACGCGAATCATGACCACAAAGATATGTATGAACTCCCAAACGGAAAAAAGGCATCCGTTGAAGTGCCGCTCGAAGATGGAAGGATGTGTGGCCAGGATTGTTGCTGGGGCAAGCGACCTGCGCACGCACACATCAAATCAGGGAAAGATACAAAGACACCTTCGGCGTTGAACCATTTGCGCAAGAAAGACAAGATCTCAGTAGAGATGATAAGATTGCTGGGAAATCGGAGGAGATAAAAAAACAAATGATGGCGTAACCACTTAAGAGGACCAGCCGAGGTTGACAACAAGGCGGACGGGACCAGGGCCCTGGGAAACGGCCTTGTCGGGCTTACCCTGGTCGGCGGCAGTGTAGGCGTTGACAACGCTGGAGGCACCCTTGCTGATGGAGGAGCACTTATCACCAGAGTGGTCGCAGATCTTCATACCGGAAATTTCCAATTTGGCGAGCTCAGCGATGATGCAAGAGACGTCCCAGCCGGAGAATCCCTTGTTCTGCTCGTTGCTCATGTCGAACTCACCCCAGGTGGTAGCGTACTGGCCGAGGTGGGTAGTGGAGAGACCTTCGCCCTCGGAGGCACCCCAACCACCCTGGGAGTTATCATCGATAGCGACGTAGATGCTGTGGCCGGGCTCAACGGTGAAGCTCAGAGCCTGGTTGGGGCTCCAGAAACCGTCCAGCGCGCCGAGGGGGCCGTAGGAGTTCCACATGACGACGGACCAGGCCTTAGAGTTGTCGTTCTCGAAGCGGATAACGTGCTTGTAACCGCTGGCGGCGTCTTCTTCGACGCGGATAATGTTGCTACCCCAGGGGCTTCCGATGTTGCCGATGTAGTCCCAGTCGAGGGCGCCGACACGTTTGCTGGGAGTGGAGGCACCGAATCCTTCGGTGGAGTACTTGCCGTCGGAGGGGTAGTTGGCCCAGTTGCTGGAGCCAGAAGATGGGGTAGAGGCAACGGGGGTGGGCTTGACGGTCTCAACAGCCTCCTCGGTGGTCTGAGCGGCGGGAGCGACAGTGGAAGTGGGAGCAGCGGTGGTCTGGGCGGCGGCGGCGGCGGAGCTAGACACGCCCTCACCGAACCAGTCGTTGATCCAGGAGACGAGCTTGCCATCGATGGTAGCGTGAACAACATCTCCATCACGCTTCTCAACATCGGGAGTCTCGGCGATAACATTAACAGCTGGCTCAACGTCAATGTCGACGACTTCGCGGACATGGTTGTGACGGCGGTCGTGGCCGTGAAGACGAGCGACAGCTGACCCGGTCAGCGCCGTTAGCAACAGCATAGAGTTGGAGAAATGCATCTTGATAGAATTGAACTTGAAAAGGAGTGACTTGAGCGAAAGCTCTAAAAGAAAATTCAATTCAAATGAATGTGTGTGAGGGATGAAGGAGAAGAAGAGAAGAAAGTGGACTAAGGGGGACTATTAGTACAATACCAAGTTACACACCAACGGGTTTTGGGACCTGAACCCAAAAAAGAAAAGGCCCAAAAATATCAGGGGCCATCGATTTTTGATTGGCTGGTTCCTGACAGTTCCTGGCCGTGCGCAAATTTTACAATATCTGATTGGTTGATTGTCAAGGGCCCAGACTCTATTCTATTGGTATTGTGTACTTGGCTATACTATGCCTCTCACCGCGGCTGTGCAAGTACTTGGGATCAGGGGGTTTTTCTCCTATTCAACTATTATTATATTCTCTACTCCGTATCTATTATTATGATTCCTATTCTTGGACTTCATATTGTTTTATAGTTGCCTAACGTCAAACACGTGTACCATCGGAATGCTGGATACCTCGAATCTGTGGACAAGATCACTTCGTATTAGAGCCCAACATTGATAACGTTAATATGCCTAAGATCTTTGTAAAATATCCACACGATGTGTACAAAGAATATTCAAACTTACGCATACACCTTAAGACAACCTCGTCATCAAGGAATCCCCACATAAACCAATCGGCGCAGTGCAACAGCAAGGATTCAACTGTCTTACGAATCCCAAGACAATCTTAAATACCTAGGTAACAAAGAACAACTCATCACCGCATCTACAACGTGGACAATAGTCAATATTTGAACACTTTATAAATTATGTTACTACCCAACTCTTACAGATTCCATTACACTCGTCACAATTAATATAAGGATTGTCCTCCCTCTGTCAATCGTATCCACGGATGTGCCCATAACACGGCGAATCTCTGCCGTTGATCTGCGTCCAGACCCCTACGCGGCCGATGGATCCCCGATATTTTTCTGTAAGGCACACACCCATTTGTAGATTCAGTGGTAGCGTTAAATTCATTCCCCACCCACATGACGAGTCTCCGGGTTGTCTCCATAATGGGCAGGCCGAAACTAGCCCGTCGGGAGTCCAGGCCTTCTAACTCGGTAAATTGGGGCTGAATGTCGAAGTTTCATGTGTCTTGTCCTACTGAAACTTTAAGCGTACTTGGCTTTTAAAAGTCCCCGTACTCCGTACATAGTAAATCGTATCCTTTGTACGGTACGTATACGGAGTACATTTTTGTTGCCACAGGCGTTTCCTGAAACATTAGGGTTAGTCGTGCAGGAACCCCTGGCATACTCCTTGATGCAGGTACCCACGACTTGAAGAAACATTTCTAAACATTCTAAACATTCTAAACATCTAAAACACTTAAAACCCCTTCTAAGAAAAATTGTACTAAAAATTGTACTAAAAATTGGGCTCGTCAATAAAGAAACCCAAGGTTGGTACGGGATGATCCTTGGCTCGATCGATCAGCGATTTGTCTGATTGGTTGTGGGAAATGAAATCTCCTGTCATTGTACCTGTGAACCATAAAAACCATAACCATAAAAATCCACTTGGACTGTATATTGTGGTAAATTAAATTAGATCCAAATAATTCAACTCAACTTCCTTTGAAGATACATGAAAAAGGTCATACGGGTGGAGAAAACACTAGTATTTACACATCTACATCTTCTGTTCAAAGGGGAAATTGCTGTTTTCGCATAATCGACATTGACCATTGGCCTAAAATGCCTCAATAGAGGTAATGGCGGTCCATCCAAATGTTCATTTACTTCCCAAGTCAACTCCACCTTCAAACGCCACACCACCAGCAGCCGCATCCAACTTCAGACTATCATCCAGCCCACAGACTCTGAACAACATTTGAGGCGTCAACTCCTCATCTAGACCAGGCAAGCCATCACGCTTCAATTTCTCCAGCCCCGCTCGCATAGCCAAGAGAGCTGGACCCAAAGTCGCAAATGGGTAGATAATAACACGGAACCCAATCTCCTTCGCCTCCTTGGCAGAAATCGAAGGCGTGGACCCATGTTCCACCATATTCAACAACAAAGGCCACGGCGCAAGGTCGGCCACAACCCGGCGAGCCATTTCCCTTGACGAGATGCCCTCTAAGAACCCGACGTCTGCGCCCGCTTCCCTCGCCGCCCGCAGCCGAGTTAAACTCTCTTCATAGCCGTGCTGCTGCAACGAGTCCGTCCGCGCAATGATCACGATATCGCTACCTATGCGTTCACGCGCTTGCACCGCTGCCCGGATACGGCTGGTGTAGGTTGCCGTGTCGACGAGTTGCTTGCCGGAGAGGTGGCCGCAACGTTTGGTCTGTACTTGGTCCTCGATGTGGAAAGCCGCCACGCCGGATCGTGCGTATTGCTCTGTTGTGCGGGCTACCATGATCGGCCCGCCGTAGCCGGTGTCGGCGTCGGCGATCAGCGGTGTGCGTGGTGAGAGGTTTGCTAACATCTCTGCGTTCGTTCGCATGTCGTTTAGCGTGCAGATTCCGAGGTCGGCTTGGCCATGCACTGAGGCGGCTGTTCCAGCGCCGGTCTGGTTGGTGTTAGCTTGGGGATGGTGATGGGGATGCCTGGATCATGCATACCATGTATAGTGCATCGAAGCCGGCTGCCAGTGCTAGTCGTGCTGACAATCCGTCGTATACTCCTGGGGCTGTGATGAATACCTCGGGATCCTGCAGAGATCGCCGCAGGGTGGTTGCTGCTGATGGAAGAGACATGGTTGTTGTCTTATGCTAACAGAGATCGCAGTGACTTGGCGGGGCAATCGGATATACGTGTAGTTATTGTCCAAGCGAAGACTTGGGGATTGATATATGCTTATCTCAGAAATGTGCCGCGCGAATAGCTTTCTCTCCGGAGGTAGAACATCAATCAAGGCGCACGTGTGAGACAAGCTTTTGCCCATCACTTCCCCAAAAATTCTTCCAGGCAATTACAATTCTTCAATGACGCAAACTCTCCACTTATCCAGAATGACGGTGCCGATATCGCCCTCATGTGTCTTCGACTTTTATATCTGAATTTGAGGGACCTGCACATCTTAGATATACCTAAACTCGGTATTGATTCAGTGATCAATCAGTGTAGATGTGATTGCCGGATGTCGATGCGGTATTGAGTTAATCAACCTTGGAATATATCAATCGTCCGGGATCCCCAATATCACAATTATCGGATGAAAAGGAACACAAATTACTTGGCAATGTTGAATATGTTGAATATACAGTCTGGCTACGATGGCAATTCAAGCGGGGTACGGAGTACCTAGATGGTAATTGCTATAGGCGTAGTACACAGTATATGCCTGTAGTGTGCACGGCTCTTCCAAGGTGATGGTCTCAATTAAGTAACTCCTTTGATCTTTCCTCTTTTCTTCCTCCTTCCTTCCCTTCCTCTTTCCTTCTTATCTCCTTCCTATTTCTCCGGTAAACATTGTCCTTCCAACCTTCCTTCCCTTGGCCCCGCAGATCTGCTTAGTCAGGAATTTCCTTTGCCGCTCTCATCTCGAATTCCATCCATCCTATGTAAATGAACGTTTTGAATAATTTGATCCTCGGTTTCCCAAATATCTGCCTCGATGGCTCGCTCCTCCGTCGTTCAGGAATATGCATCGCCCTCCACCCCAAACCCGACCCTCACCCTCGACTCAAAGTCCATCGCCGAGCTCCAGAACTTACAAATAGCTCGTCCTAAAGGCTACCGGGTATCATGGCACGCCAATCCAGCCGTTGAGCCCCACCACTTTGGCCAGTCACATCCAATGAAGCCATGGCGCCTCACGCTCACCAAACAGCTCGTCATGGCGTACGGCATGCACCACGCCATGGACCTGTATCTCTCGCGCGCAGCGACCTATGAGGAAATGGCCGACTTCCACGAGAGAGACTATCTCGACTTCCTGCAACAGATCATGCCCGGCGACATGGACAAGCCCGAGCAAGCAGATAACGTGGTGCGCTTCAACTTCGGCGACGACTGCCCCATCTTCGATGGGCTGTACAGCTACTGCTCGCTGTACGCCGGCGGCACTGTCGACGCCGCGCGCAAGCTCTGCAATAACCAATCCGACATCGCAATCAACTGGTCCGGCGGCCTACACCACGCCAAAAAAGCCGAAGCCAGCGGCTTCTGCTACGTCAACGACATCGTTCTGGGCACACTCCAGCTCCTCCGCCACCACCCGCGCGTCATGTACATCGATATCGACGTACACCACGGCGACGGCGTCGAACAAGCCTTCTGGTCAACAGACCGTGTCCTCACAGTCTCCTTCCACAAATACGACAAAGACAACTTCTTCCCGGGCACCGGTGCACGTGAAGACACAGGCCCCGCACACCCCCTCAACCCAGGCGCCCACCACGCAATCAACGTCCCCCTCAACGACGGCATCGACGACGAGTCCTACATCGCCCTCTTTAAAGATGTTATCGGCGCATGTGTGAACACTTACAAACCAGGAGCAATCGTTTTGCAATGCGGCGCAGACAGTCTAGGCTGCGATCGGCTGGGCTGCTTCAACCTGAACGTGCGCGCACACGGCGCCTGCGTCGCATTCACCAAGACCTTCAATTTACCATTGCTGGTCGTTGGAGGTGGTGGCTACACGCCGCGCAATGTCTCCCGCGCGTGGGCGCACGAAACCTCGATTCTGCTCGAGGCAGATAATATCATCGACCCCACTATCCCGGACTCTGTCGCGTTCCGTAATCACTTCGGTCCTGATTTCTCGCTCTTCCCACCTCTGTCGGAGATGCGCAAGCTTGATAATAAGAACACTCGCGCGTACCTTGAGAGTCTTGTCGAGGCTGTCCATGAGCAGTTGAGATATATCAAGGGTGCGCCCAGTGTTCAAATGAGCTTTATCCCACCGGATATTTTGGGCTTGCGAGAGGATACAGAGAAGGAGATTGAGGAGCAGACGATGATGATTGAGGAGGAGAGAGAGGAATACGAGGGTGGTGGATCGATGGCTGCTGCAGATGCGGCGGCGGCTGGTTCTGGGTTGGCTTACACTGGCTCTGCTGGAGCTATACCACGGCCTAATCGGCGACGCGATCTGGAGCGTGGGGCTGGATACAAGGGAGAGTTGTATTCATGAGCTTTGTTTATGACCGGATAAGTCACCAGGAGTAAAGAATGGTTCATGGCGTTTTGTATTTGGAGGAGGGGAGTTTCGGTCTTTGTATGGTAGTATTTGGTGGCATGGGTTGCCATCTATTGTGATATCCCTCTCTAGGAGAGCTTTGTAAAGTAATGGACAGAGAACATTTGAAGACACTGAATTAATTAAATATCAAGTGGATTTAACAAAGACAATAATCCTGAATACCAAGAAGTGAGTAGAAATGGAGAGAAGTCCCCAAACACCAGGTTAAGTATAAAGTGCAGTTGACATCCAAATTCTTTTATATTCACCATGTGATTATTTTTTGTTCAATCAGATTGTCTAATTTACGGTGAGCACCTCTCCCAACTCTTAGAGATATGTGAGAATAGAGGACGCACTCATCTTCACATGAGAGATCAGGAAATCATTTTGAGAATTTTGAATTTTTAAATAAAAATCAGATCGGGTATCCAGCAATGGGAAACGGCATAGCCGAGAAAAACGCTGTGTTGAAACATCAGAGGGAAGGGAATTATCCTCGAGTGCTGGGTATGTCTGCGCAGGTTGACTACATGGCAGAGAGTGTGATAACACTCTTGAGGTGAGAGCGAGGGAAACCTGAGCAACCGAGTTGGATTAAGTCGTGGCTATGGGGGCCGATGGACGCAATGGGATTTTTTTGGGCGTCTACAAACTTCTCAGTTGAGAATCTGTTTCCGTGGCATTCTCTGGGTGGCATTAGTTGGGGGGGTATTGCCTGGCCTAGTTCGAGGGGTGATGCGGCGGGATTTGAAACTGGGATGACTCCTTCTGACCTTGGACGATGGGTACGATTGAGAGGATTTGTTTAGTGGCGACCTGGGGATCGTTCATGTCACTGTGAAATTGTCAGTTATGAAGTCTTTTTAGTGAGTTGGGTGGCCGTGCTTACATTTGAGCATTGATGATCCAGTCGAGGTCTTCCTCGCCCTCATCTGGTCCGCCGGGGCCGCCTTGGATGGCGCGGAAAAATCGGGGATGCCAGTCTATTCCCTCGTCGGCGCGTTTGGCGGCTTCGTCGCGCTGGCGGTCTTCGATTTTGGTCTTTTCGTCGGTTGCGGCTTCGTGGTCACGCGCTTGGATCGCTTGGACGGTGTTGTGCCAGAGTCGTTGCGATTCTCGCTCTCCTTGCTCCTCCATGGGACGGACTAAGGGTGCTGTGGCCTTTGCGTGTGTCGCATCGAACAAGATGTCTTTTTTGTGGGTCTGTTATCAGTTAGCGTTGAATCCGGTAACCCTTGGTATGTGGAACGTACATGAACATCTTTCAGGTGCATCTCCCCATTCCACATTCCGGAAAGTTCATATAACACCTCCCCGGTCTGTTCGTTCTTGATAGTTCCTCCAATTGCGTTATATGTACCGGAGAAATATCCCTTGGTCTTGAACTCGATATCGGCCACAAGGTGATTCTCGGGACAACGCACGTAGCTGTGATCGCCGAGCTCATATCTCATCTTTCCGAAAAGAATGCCGCGCGCATACATATTGGGTTGGGTCAGGATACTGGTTTTTGTTAGTAACTGGAACGTCCATCGGATCCGGAAGCAACATACTATTTTTCGCCCTTTTCTTTATCCCCATGGTTCAACAGCCGCAAAATAGCAATACCCTCCATCATACTGGCTGCGGAGTTACCCAAGAACTTACTCCGGGGCTTGAGTGTTCCATCGATACGAATTTTATGCTCCGGGGCAGCAAAGAAATAGCTCGACTTCGGTGGGTGGTGGGAGGTTTGTTCGGAGATGTAGTAGGCGCGGGTTCCATCGGGATAGTCCCAGTAGCAAGTGAAAGTCTCTCCCAGGATGGGGTTGAGCGGTTTCTTCACTCCTCTATGTAAATATTAGCATATCTTCCTAGACAAACAGCAAGCGGGTGACGTACGGTGGTTTGATGTGCCATCCACTGAGGTAAAATTTCACCACAGAGACAAAGCGCTCAACGGGATCCTCAATGGCAGACATAGGGAGGAGGGTTTCAGGGTGAGCCATGAAACTATAGAATTATTTATGTTAGTATAACCAAATATTATGTATCCAGTAGCTCCAAGCGGCAGCTCCAAGCTGCCCGGAGCTGCGGGGTGCAAACGTACTTGGTGATCCGCTCCAGCATAGACCGGGGCTCAAGGATGAACGTCGGCAAGACGACACGACTCAGGTCGGCACCGGGCCGAAGCTGAGAAATGATATGCGACAGAACTATATTGATATATCAAGTTAGCTTGGGTTCGGGGATTAGTGATTTGCACGTACCATTTCCCTGGTCGGGCTCAACGACCTCATCCTCTCCACTTGGCGGAGAATCTTCCATGGATGATCTCGATGATCTACCTGTATCAAGATTAGTTGACATGTTGAGGTTATTGTATGTGACAGGGTAAAATGAGAAAGGAAGACGAACTGGCTTGGGAAGTTCGGCGGAGATGCGAAACCGGCATGACTGCGTTCGGAAATGAGCTATATCACGGAATTCGGCAAAGCTTAAGGCATTTATGAAATAGAAAGAAGATATTTAAAAGGTAAAAGACGAGAATAAATAAATCGATGCCTAAGAGAAAACCGAGACAGCTGACTAGTTTTGGCGGAAATTCCGGAAATCGGGCTTTTCACTATGGAGAAGAGAGGAGCACACGAAAAAAAAAAATCTAAAAATTGTTGTAGTTCAGAAGAAAAAAAACGAATACGCAGAAAAAAGGCACTAAAAGGACACTAAAATATTCCAAAATGTTCATCTTGTAAAATGCTTAGCACGGGCTAGAATGACGTTGCAATTTTTGTTACTAGGATCAGCTCTTTATGCTTATTCTTTAGCTATACAGCTGATAGATCTTGATATCTTTTCCTTCTACAGATGATATAAAATATATAAAAAAAATATATAGATTTAGTTCCTTTAGTATCTTTTTGGAGAATTCCATTGACCGTTTCTCTTTAAGATCGTCAATGAGGGGCAGGCTTGGCAGTATACACCTCTTTGCATGTAGTTGAAAGTACATTATGCTGAAGGACCATATACTCCGTACTCTGATGTGATAGATCTTTCCTTTTTCCCCTTCTTTTTCTCTTTCCCTCTTGAAATCCAAACGGATATTATAGCCGTTCAATCAGAGGTATATCGCCACGGGTGATCTCCCTAACAAATTCCATATCGGGACGATGGAGCATGACGTGGAAGTGTTCTATCCCGGGAACTGACTTGAGTGACTTCCAATTCTTGAACCAGACCACCTTATGTTGTCAGTTTTTCATCATTCTAATCCTGACATTTCTCATACCTGTTCACGTGGTACCCGAACACAAAACGTCTTCTGTACATAACTCTCAATGTCCGCTCGTGCCCTTGGCGTTAAGTCATCTGTGGCTGGATCATCTTCCAGCCGGAATTTAGTCCACACTACCAGATGGATGATGTCTTTATCCACACCATATGGCCAGTCATTGTATATGATTCGGATATCCTCTATACACTGATTAGTATTGAGTATTTCACTTGTGATCAACCCGGTGACTGTACCCTCGTATTCAAAAGGACTACCTCGAGGCTTGATCTCTTCCACGCCATCCCCCCAGCCTAACCGTTCCTTGACCACAAATCTCACAACGGATGTATACTCCGCCTTGATATGTGCCATGTATTCCAGATACTTGCGCAGCTCGCTTGGAACACGCTGGAACCGATCGATCTGGTTCGTGCCTGTTTACATATAGTTAGTGAATTGAGTTCACTAATCAGCTGATGGACTTAACTGGTGATCTCCTTCACCTGATCCCAATTCTGTCGGGTATAAAGGTGATCAGGGGTTGAGAGGCATTTGATATTCTTTGGCGATTGGTCACGTAGAAAGTTGGGACATTCAGCAGTCCATTGCGACCGAGGTAAATTGACCAGCCAGTATGGAAGGCTTTCGGAGGATAGGTTGTGATCGTGGTGCAGTGCCGTATCGGCATCAGTCAATTTCCCATCGAGGGGGTTGATTGGGGCGGTTGATAGAGCCCTAGTGCGAAGCATTGAGAATATGCTATAGATCCAGTTCTGGACTGCACTAGCTCGGTTCAGACTAAAATGTGATATCTTGTTCAAGTGAGTCGTGAGCCTCTCCCTTGAAACGACGTCACTATGCAGTAGTGCCGAAAGGGGTGAAGTTGAGGTGTTTCCGGTGCTTGTCGATCGCGTATCCACCGGTGATCTATTTTTATACCTGACATATTAATCTTCTAAATTGTTTCAAATATACAGATCAGACACTAGAGTTTATGTGGTCTGTTTTTTCTAGAACTCTCATTGGGTAGCATTCATAGAGTAACACCACATAAAAATACATTACCGTTATATACAGTGCTAGCATGAGGCCTACACAGTAGGCATAAGATCTGTAGATAAGCAGCTTGGGAGTTCAATCTATATTCAAGTCCAAACGCGGAGAACAACACTTGGAATGGGGTTTTGAATAAAACTAGAGTGAGATAACATATATCAACTCTTCCCTCACAACTCCCTAATAATAGGGTCGTCCATAGAGATAACAGACACCCCAGCAGTCGCAAGTTCCTTCTTAATAGCATCCCAACCAGCAGGCACGACACACTTCGTTCCCTCCTCAATAACCCAACTTCTAAACCCAGTCTTGACAGCATCCAGAGCCGTAGCCCTAACACAATAATCCCCAGCCAACCCCACAACAAATACATCTGTAACGCCTTGAGACTTGAGAGTCGCGGCAACATCTAGACTGACCGAATTTGCGTTGGTTCCATGATCACAGTTTCCGAAAGCATCCGCAAATACAGAATACATCTCAACTTCGGGACGCATGCCTTTGTGAACGACTATATGATCGCTAGAGGTGTCAATCTCTGGGATAATCTCTGCACCAGAGGTACCAGCCACACAATGGTCAGGCCAGAGTTGCTGCGGTTTTGTTTCTGATTCCTTTCCTAGAGCGGGGTTATGTATTGTGACGAATGAAGAGAAGGGCTGATTGTCTGGCCCTGGATGGTTCCTGGCAAAGGAGATATGGTCCTTTGGGTGGTAGTCTTTGGTCATGATGCGGGCGATAAATCCTGGCTTTGCGAGGAGAGTGTTGATTAGCGGGGCAATACCGCGGCCTCCCGCTACGGCGAGTGATCCATTCTATGTTATTTATTAGTATATATAGCCTTCTATTGTATATACTCAACTCACTGGAGGACAGAAATCCTCTTGCATATCCACCACAATCAGGGCTGGCCTGATAGTACCATTTGCTGCCATTTCGGGCTGGAAAGATGTGGGGTAAAGAGTTGTAGGAGATACGGGCAATAGTATGGAGGGGCTTTAAAGCTTTGGGAATGGTAAATTCCGATTGTTACCCTAAAATAAACGGAAGAGTGCAGAGGCCTTATAAAAGAGAGAAGATTAAAGAACTTTGGAAAGGCGCGATGTGTACAAAATGATAAGCTTAGATATTTGTCAGGCAGAATGTGAGCTCTCGTCTTTATTATGTAGGCGGAATGTTAAGCGGTCAACCCATGACTAAGCCCAGCACTAACAAAACGAAGCTTTTCAACTTTCGCCAAACTCGCTCTTCTCTCGTCTCTCAGGGCTACGGCCCGTGAATAACTGGTATGTAATTGTCTTTACTCTCTCCTTCCCCTCAACCTGATGAATACCTTATTGGAGCTGTCTGAGCTTTTGCTATGCGGATACATTTTATACGCTTTTTTCTGAAATTGTGCTTTCAATCTCACATCACCAAAAAAACCAATTTCAAATCAGTCGCTAACTGCCTCTGATAGTCAAACAAAACAGGATATTGTAAAACTGAAAAAAATACCCCTTCGCCAAAATACCTAGAAGCCCAATTAGTCTCTCTCTATTATCATCTCCATAGTCTCCTCAAAAATGGCATATGATCCCCGCCGAACAAACTCGGGGACCTCAACTCCCCAACCTCCCCCTCCTCCCCCTCCACCACCAGAGACCGCCGACATGGCATCCCAAGCCCTAGAAACGCCCGCCACAGACTCGTACAAGCTCAAGTTCTGCACAGTCTGCGCCTCAAACAACAACCGCTCAATGGAAGCCCACCTCCAGCTCTCCGGCGCGCCCACAGCCTTCCCCGTGATATCCTTCGGCACGGGCTCCCTCGTCCGTCTCCCCGGCCCATCAATCACCCAACCAAATGTGTACAGCTTCAACACAACCTCCTACAACCAAATGTACGAAGAGCTCTCAGGCAAAGACGAGCGTCTATACCGCAGTAACGGCATCCTGAACATGCTCGACCGCAACCGCCAACTGAAATGGGGTCCAGAGCGATTCCAGGACTGGGTCCCTGGTGTCCCGCGCGTCGACCATCTCTCAAAGGGTGACAAGGGTGCTGTCGGGACGGAAGGCGGCGTCGTGGATGTCATCATCACCTGTGAAGAGCGGTGCTGGGATGCTGTTGTTGATGATCTCATGAATAAGGGAACGACGCTCAATTACCCCGTTCATGTCTTCAATGTCGATATCAAGGATAACCATGAAGAGGCATTGACTGGTGGAAAGGCGATTCTTGATCTGGCCAATCGTCTGAACGAGGCTGCTGTTGCGGAACACAGGATTCATGGCTCGGAGGGATGGGAAAATGGGACTGGTGCGGCTCGTCAGAGCTTCGATGAGAAGGTCCCCGAGATCTTAGCGGAGTGGCAAGATCGATACCCCAATTTGCCGGCTTTGTGGACTATAGCTTGGCTTTAGTTCCCGACCTGGATATCTATTTACCTACTGCCTTCCTATGGGAATGGTTTAATACAATGATTTGCAGGTGCTGTGTTTATCCATATGAAGTGTTTTTAGCGAGTATGCGGATATCGCATTATTTGACGTTATACTAGAAGGGGTATTGAACAAGGAATAGCAACAAAACAAAACTCAAAGATCCTGGCTCTCAGGGCCCTTCTCATCTTTGATCCATTCGTCCTTCACATCCATCTCTTCCTTAGGATCCGTTTCGTCTTTGGACCATTCCTCTCCAGGAGTATTTTGGTCCGCAGAAAGTAGTATCTCTCTCCTCTCTCGATACCACTTGTCGAGACAAGCTCGCCGTTGCGCCTGGGTCATGCCCTCAACAACGAGTGCGAATTCCGTAGCATCAGTATACCCAAACCGTCGCGCCATACTACAAAACTGACGACGTATTACACCCTCCGGGGGATGATACTTGAATCGCACAGGTTCCCCTACCGGCTGAGAGAAAGGCTGCGAGGACATGAAGACCTGACGGTCACCCGTCGTATCATTTGGAGCCAGTTCAGCACGACGACTGAGGTCTTCCTCGACACGCGAGGAACCAATCACTTCATTATTGAGATGTGTGTATTCCACGCCTGCGCTTGCAAGAATCGCTTGAACAGGGTCGTGTTTATGTGGCGTTGGCAGATTAGCCGAAGGCTTATCTTTTTTCTCATCTTCGCCGCAGATCATCGCCGCGAGTTGGCTCATTGCTTCATCTTCAAATTTCATCGGTCGATCATAATCGTAGCCTTCTTCGTCTGCTTTGAGATCTATGTCGACGACGTGCACCCCCGCACGACTTTCGGCGACATTGGTTCTGTTAACGATATCACGAAAAACGATGTTCGTGTTCTGATATCCAAAGAAATTCTTCAGGCCAAAGATCTCACCCTTCTGGTCACTCTTTTCTTGCACGCCTTTGAAGTATCGTCGCTCGGAACTTGCGTTGTATCCAATGTTTGCCTGTTGCTGCTTGTAGATCTGTCGAGCGTAGACGATTTCTTCGATCGTGCCGGCAGAAATAAGCCGGAAGACTTCCACGTCGCGAAGTTGACCTATGCGGTAGGCCCGATCCTGAGCCTGCAGGTCGTAGGACGGGTTCCAGTTTGGATCAACGACTACCACTTTGTTTGCCGAGGTGATGTTCAATCCGACACCGCCAGCTTTGGTTGATATTAGGAAAACAAACTGTCGCGAGTCGGCATTGAACTCGTCCACGGCTTTTGTACGGTCATCGAGACTCATAGATCCATCTAGGTAGCTGACGTTGTAGCTGGTGTGGTGGAAGAGCATTTGTAGCATCTTGAGGAGACGCACGCTATGCGAAAAGATAAGAACTTTGTCGCCATTCGCATGCCACCATTTAAGTAGCTTCCGCAGAACCTTCCACTTGCCGCAAAACTCGGGGTTCGCATAGTTGACAATTGAGTCTCGCGAGCGGTAAAGATCTTCCCATTGTTCAGGCAGTGCAAGTTCCAAATAATCTCTATCTTTTTCCTGCTTCTCTTTTGGGTCTATTCCTTGTGGGATTAGGATTGCCAGATGATTGCTGAGCTTTTGAAGCACATTAATAGCAGGAAACACATATGACTGCCAAGTTGGAGGGTCTCTACCGGGAATAAGGCGACGACAACACCAGCCGGACTTCCTGTTCGATCCACACTCGCATGGTTCTGTAGATGTCTTGATATAATCGACGATATCACTGTCAAGGAAATTCTCGTAGGCCTCGGCCTGTGTCTCAGTCAGGGGACAGAAGACAACCCGGTCGATCTTTTTGGGCAGCTGATCCGCGATCAAGGACTTCATTCTCCTGATGAAAAATTGTGGAAGTAGGTTCTCAACCAGCTTCTTAGCTGTTCTCCGTGCTCTACTGAGCTCGCTCAGGGTGGCATCGTGCGATTGTCCAATCTTCAATGGCTCTGATATTTGCGCCCTCCATGTGGATACCGGACCCAGAACACCGGGGTTCGTCCAGTTGAGAAGGGTCCATAGTTCTTCATATTTGTTCTGGATGGCCGTGCCCGTGAGCCCTATCCGACACAACGCATTGATCTCGTTCATAGACTGGGTGGTCCCGGACTTGCGCTCCTTGATCTTGTGGCACTCGTCTGCAATCACACAGTCCCATTCTATCATATTGACAGCGTCTTTGTTGTTCATGTAAGTGGTGTAGGTTGTAATCAGGATTTCCACCCTCCCCGACTTTGCCGCATCGAGGGCAAGGTCCTTATTCTCCCCGTGATAGCTTTCAACATGCCACCACCCCCAGCGCGCAAACTCCGCCCTCCAGTTTGAAATAAGGGTTCCGGGGCACACGATAAGCGTGCGTGGGTACCAAGTGCTATCATCAGATCGGCGCATCTTTCGCATGCGCTTTGCATCACGTTCATCCCCTGTCTTTCCATAGACAGCGGTCAAGAAAGCAATTACCTGAATGGTTTTCCCGAGACCCATATCGTCTCCCAGGACACCACCCTTTTGGTATACAAACAGCTCGTGGAGAAACGCCACTCCCTCCACTTGATACTGCCGCAACCACTGGGCGACCGGTGCAGGGATAATACCCATGGAATATGGAAGTTCGATATCCTTATACTCCTGCTTTCGGGTATTTACCGGGAAGACAGGTCGTTCCTGAAGTTCTTCAAGTCGTTCATCGTCTGAGAAATCCACATTCTCATAGGTAGGTGGTAGCTTCAGTCCATGATCTTTCAGATGTTCATACCTCCGGTCGAATTGACTGCGGCGCGTCTTAAGATATCCAGGCAAGGTATTTTCCATCAACTCGTCTTCCGAGGATAGCTCGCCCCATTGTTTCAACGGCCGCTTAGGCCGAGCTGTTGGTTTCTCTTTTTTTATACGGCCAACAATTGGATCCCCCCTTGGTATTTTGGCTTTGCGGGTTGCTGCAGCAGTTTGTTTGCGCTTGAGTGATTTGCGCTCTTTGAATTTCTTGTACGCTAGCTCGCCATCGTTGGCGTCCTCCTCGTCGCTATCCACAGGTTGGATCTTTACAGCGCTTGATGACCCGGAAAGAAGAGTGCGCGACTGCTCTGATTTAATCGGTGTATTAGCCCCGTGTTTCACACCGGAGAACCTGTCTTGGGAGAATGTGAGCTGTCGGTCAAACGCGTCGAAGAGGTGTCATACTGCTAGCTGTCGGAGTTGCATAATGCGTCACCTCCAAGTCGTCATCATCTGAATCGATAATAATGACCTCCTCAAATTTCTCATTATTTGCCATGTTCTCTGCATTTCTGAAAATAGAGCTCAAAAGGTGACATAGTGTAACTCGAAGTGGAAGTACCAGACTGTCGCGACACAGCCCTTACGGTAGTCGATAACGGCCACGAAGCGAAGTTAAATCTGGTCTCTCAGTAAAGCTTCAATCGAACATTATTTAGTATATAATTTGGTGTTCTGTTTCATTTTTCGTCTCATAAATAGTAGAGTCTCGTTAATATCTCCTGCATGCTCAAAAAAGTGGTTGAAACTGTTCTTGGTTTATAGTTGTTACGTCGGGTCACGTGCAGCAGAACCAGAAAAAAAGATGCTCTCATTGGTTTGGCATTCGATTCTTTGCATATACGATTAAAGCCAACGTAAGTCGAGAACAATATTCTACCTCCATCACTGCTCAATCAAGGAACACCTGACTAACCTACGCCCACAGAGGACACAAAATATAGCTTGAGTTCCTACTTGACATACCCTCTTTTCGCTCAAGATATTCTCGATCTTATCAGAACCCAACCAGCAAGATGCCGCTGGATACCTCGACAACATATCCCCTGACGCGGCTGCGCCTTGACGGTCGCCGCTGGAACGAGCTCCGCCTACTTCAAAGCCAGATCTCAACCAACCCCGCCAGCTCTGGCTCTTCATACCTATCCATGGGCAACACATCAATCATGTGCTCTGTCCACGGTCCCGCCGAGGGTCGCCGAGGAGATGGCGGAGGCGGCGCAGCGGGTAGTGGCCACGCAGTAGTGGAAGTAGACGTCAATGTCGCCGGATTCGCCGGTGTAGATCGCAAGCGGAGAGCCGGTGGAAGTGATAGGTATGCACCCTCCTACGTTTTCCATTACCTCCATATAGAGAGTCACCGGAACAACCAGATACAGCAGCTAACCTCCCGGACTACAGACAATCATCGCGAATTGCTACAACCCTCCGCTCAGCCTTCCAGTCTCACCTCCACACCTACCTCTACCCCCACAGCACAATCAGTATCCATGTCTCCGTTCTCTCTGCCGATGGCTCATTGCTCGCCGCGGCTATCAATGCCTGTACCCTAGCGCTTGTGGACGCTGGAATCCCCATGCCAGGACTACTCACTGGCTGCACTGCCGGTATGAGCGGTAGCGCCTCTACACCGCGTGATCCGCGACATGACGAGCTTGATCCACTGCTGGATTTGTCACTTCCAGAAGAACAAGAACTACCTTCGCTTACTGTTGCGACGACGACGGCAGTACCTGTTGGCGAGAACAATATGGATGAAGACGATGAGGCTATGAAGGTGTGTGTGCTTACTATGGAGTCTAAGGTTCACGCTACGTACCTTGACACAATGTTGGCGGTCGGGATCGATGGGTGCAGTCAGATTCGGGAATTATTGGAAGGTGTCATTAAAGGATCCCGAGGTTGACGCAGAAAAAAACCGAAAAAGAACAAAAAAAAAACAATTGAAATGGGAAATAGATACTGATACCCTTGTACGTTTGTACCTTTGTACGTTTAATGTTAGCCAATCCGAGAATTTGCTCAAACCACCTCGAAGCTTTTAGGGCCCAATCTATAAAATCTGCTCATATTGCTCCTATTAGGGTATGAGCTCTCTTATTTTATTTACATCTTCCATTTTTCATCTTTTACTTTGTTCTTTCTCTGATATTATCTCCATACTCCAGTCAACATGGATATGCACGGAATGGACATGCCAATGGCCACAACGACAACCTCTGCAGCCATGTCCAGCGCTACAGGAATGAAAATGGGTGGCATGAGCATGGGAGGTAGCTGCAAAATCTCGGTCCGTCATTATCAACCCATCACTACTCTACACACATAAGCTGACAAGTCATAGATGCTCTGGAACTGGTACACCGTCGACGCATGTATGTACTCCCAACCCCTCAGAACCACACCAGCTAACAAAACCCAGGCTTCCTCGCCCGATCATGGCACATAACCTCCCGCGGCATGTTCGCCGGCTCATGCATCGGAGTAATCTGTCTAGTCCTAAGTCTCGAATTTCTCCGCCGTCTAGGCCGAGAATATGACTCGTTCATTGTGCGTCGAGCACGTCTTCGAAGACTCTACATGTCTTCCAACCCTCAATCAGCCTCCAACGTCCCGCTACGAAGTGAAGATACCAATACCACCAAAGCCGGTAACTGCTGCAATGCGGATTCTACCTTCACAGACGACGACATTACTCCCGCGGGTCCGCAGAACGGCACGAAGCAGTCTGCATCGACTAATGTCGTTGGCGTGAAGGAGAGTCTTGCTCCGTATCGGCCATCGCTTGTTGAGCATACCGTGCGGTCGTTGATGCATATGGCGCAGTTTGCGGTTGCGTATATCATCATGTTGTTGGCTATGTATTTCAATGGGTACATTATTATTTGTATCTTCATTGGGGCTTTCCTGGGGGCGTTTATCTTTTCCTGGGAGCCGGTTGATTTGAATAAGGAGTAAGTCATTCTGGTTTAGCCTTGTGTTATTCTTGTGTTAGCCACTATCTTTCCTGTGCTAATGGCTTTTCTTCAGGTCGGATGCATTGTCAGTCACCAAATGCTGCGGTTAAACAAGTGTTGCACGACATGTTCTGAATTCCGATAGGATTTGATTCGAGTATTTCTAGGGTTTGATATTCCCGATATTTGCTTCAGATACGAGGGCACTTTTAGTCCAGATTCCCATAATTTCATGTATGAACCTGAGGGTTCTATCTTCCTTCTCAATTGTCTTCTGATAAATGAAAAAGAAAGTAGAGTATGCATAGCGAAATTAATATAAGTCTTCCGAGGTTATGTAGGTAACCGGGTGGAAACCTTTTCCACCAGAAAAAAAAACCTGCGCGGGGCAGAATGTACATAGTCGTGGACCCGCGATCAAAGTCCTCGAACCACACGGATACCTGCAGGTCTCTCTCTACTTGGGAAATAAAGGGGAGTGTAAGATGATGATTTTCCATCAATTTAGTACTTTGTGATGGATCAGCTTGAAACATTTGAATGCAATGGGTTTGTTTAGGCCATTTTGGCATTCTTAATTTACAAATGTCAAAACATACTCACTTTTACAAGACCTCTAATCTACATTGAATTGAACATATCCCCACGACAGAAAGGCATGTATGAGCTAGCTTGGTAGAAACTTTAGATTACAAGGCGCAAAAGGGAAAGCCACCCATGCTAGTCCCACGCCGCACTGGTAGCGACTGGAAAGTCCATGACGAAAAGAAAGACGTTCATCCTCCAAACACCCAACTAAATCTCCAAAATGAGGTTTTTAGTTACCACCGCAGTTGATGATGGTGGGCTTGACAGCGGAGCGGATGGAACCGGAGCCGGAGCCGAGAGCCTCAATCTCCTTGACGACCTTCATGGACTCCTCATCAGCGACCTCGCCGAAGACGACGTGCTTACCATCGAGCCAAGAGGTGACAACGGTGGTGATGAAGAACTGGGAGCCGTTGCTGTAAAAAAAAAAAGGGAAATGTTTAGTTATGGTTCTGTGGACCAGACGGGATACAAAACTGAGACTTACGTGTTGGGGCCAGCGTTGGCCATGGACAGGAGACCAGGGCGGGTGTGCTTGTGGATGAAGTTCTCATCGGCGAACTTCTCACCGTAGATGGAGCGGCCACCGGTACCCTATTCCGGTAAAATAAAGTCAGATACTGAGCATTGCGAGCATCAGGGTTAGAAAAGAAAACTCACGTTGCCACGGGTGAAGTCACCACCCTGGAGCATGAACTGGGGGATGACACGGTGGAAAGAAGAGCCCTTGTAGCCCTCACCCTCCTTCTTGTTGCAAAGCTCAGCGAAGTTCTTGGCAGTCTTGGGGACCTCGTTGGCGAAGAGGTTGAAGTTGATACGGCCAGTCTTGGCTAATGAGAGAATCAGCATCAATTCCAATTCCAATTAATGTAGCATGATGCGAGATTGCCAAGCTTTGATACTGATATCAAAAGCTGAAGGTCGGAGGCAGCAAGGTAAGATTGGGGTTGGGAGGCAAAAACTCTCTGCCCCGCCAGAAATGAGAATGACAGAGCTGATGGGATACTTACGGGTAGAGGAGCCAGCAGGGGCGTACTGGACCTCGAAGAAAGCGGAAGTGTTGGACATAGCGGCGGTTGATGAAGCGAAAGATCGGGCAGCGGGGTGGAAAGAAGTGCAATTGAAGAGAGAAGAAGAGAAGAGGGAAGAAGGTGGGGTTATTGACCTCAGTCGGCAGAACATGGTGAGGGGCAGGGCGGAGCGGGTAAACTCGGGAGCCGGGCTGTTTTGGGGTTAGCTTATAGAGGTTCGCCTAAAGACCACTTGTGCATTTTCTGCCTGAGGCTCCACTTTTAGAGCTTCTCCAGACTTTCCAGGGGGAAACATGATTGCTTCTGTTGCCTATGTCCCTGAAAGAGTCTAAAGTAAAGTGGAAATGCATTCTAACATTCACAGGACAAGGGAACAAGCTCACTTACAAAGGATATAGATTGATGAGGAATGCGAATTAACGAAGTAGAAAGAAGGAAAAAAACCGAAGCTCAATGCCAAAAAGCGTCTAGAGCTCCGTGATTATGTAATGACTTCCGGGATATCCCTGCCGAACTAGTAGTCTTGGCTACGAGAAGATATGCATCTGTTAAGGGGTAAACTTATGTTTATTCATGGATGGTCACTGAAGATATACGGAGTACGTTCATTTCACCTGTATACATTCACAATATAACGAAATAACAGCCCGATACCAGCAAGCGGTCGTGAGATAAACGAGTGAAAACAAGAGATCAGGCCGAAAAACCTAAATGGACAATAGAAAGGGGCTAAAATAAAGTACAAAGAATAAGAGAATGTGAAAGAAAAGTGACGAAGGGAAGAAACCCTGTAAATGCCACACATATCGGGACATCGTTTCGACATTGTCCACTCGTTGCCATAGATGAATAGTCGCTGAAAAGCAAGGGGCAAAGAAGAATGAGTATAAAGAAGAATTCTAGAGAAAAGAAGAAGAAAAAGTGTAGCCTCGAGTTCATGTCATGAGAAACAATGCCTCGGATCAAGCTCATCACCGGAAGTCATCGTCATCTTCCTCGTCAGCAAGTACCGATGTGGCCTCGAGGCGCTGAACAAGGTCTTTGGTCTGCCGAGCAATCTCAAATGCAATAGGAGGGAGTTTGTTCGTGAGCTCGCGCAATTGTTCAGGGGTGGTGGCGTGTTCACCCTCATCAGCAGTCGCCGCCAACCGGCCGCGGCACTGGTCCAAGGCTGCAATGACTGGCTCCGACGTTTGGCGCAAAGCGATGTCTCCACTGCGTTCCCGCATCAGGTGCTCCGTAGCGGAAACGACATTCGCAACGACGTTCGAAATGGCAGAGACATGTGTCTGGACAGTATGCAGGTTGTCCTCGGCTCGGATACTGGCCACCAAAGCCTGAATTTGCTGGACCATGCCATCTGTCTGGTCCTCGACATAGAGCTAGGATCACCCGTTAGTAAATTATTCGTCACGATATTATTCTTGAGACTCACCTTAAGCTCCAACACCTCGTGATCTTCTTGCACATGACCCCAGCCATGATTGAGGTCATTGGTAGTACCATTCTGTACAGCGTACTGAGAGTCATCCGGACGACTGATAGCACTGTAGACGGAGTTATTGCTCATCCGCTTTTGACTGGCAGATGTATCGAAATAGTCAGGGAATTGCTCCTGAGATACATCTGCCTCGTGATCTTCATCCTCCAACTCATCTACAGGAGATGCCCGGATCTTCACTACCCGTATCAAATCAACAATAGCCGTGCAAAGATGGGAGGCCGCTGCATCGAGGAGCGACACCGGAGAGAGACCACTAGAGCCCGCAAAGTTGCGCGTGGCGGTGATCATGTTGTTTGCAGTCGTAGACACCTGGCCCTTAACTTTAGCGCGCAGAGCAGCCGATCCATCCACCGGGATCGGGGAATATTCCACGTCCTGGAGAATATGGCGGACAGTTCCAATGACCATCTTGATCTGGTGGAGCACCACGTGCGATTCCTCGAAACGCGCAACGCGCAGGAGCTCGTCCACAGACAACTGGAACTTAGTAACGTGAGTATCCTTGACCAGTCCATCGGCTTGCACCAATTCATGCTCTTTCGCAACAAGACTTGCGTCGGGCCGCGAGTCGGCGAAACCACCAGACGATGTGCGAAGCTGCCGCAGCTGTGCCTTGACCTTAGCATAGCGGTTCTTCCATTCATTGGCATCTGCCTCGAGTCTGTGGACCTCGTTCGAGAGCTGTTCTTCGCGCTCCCAATTGGAGTGACTCTCGGCTGAAAGGGTCTTCATTTCCATGAGGAAAGTGGATGCCTCGCGGCGAACCTCATCGGTCACTTGTCGCTGCTGCTGCAACTCTACTTGCAGCCTCTGGTGCTGGGCCTCTAGATCATCATAGCGTGCTTGTAGACCTGCATCATCAACCCCCCGGGAAGACTCGTTGAGCTGGCTGCGAAGATCCCGTTCCATGGTGTCGTGCTCGGTTCTAACTCGCTCAAGCTCCAGCTGAAGCGAGCTGTTAAGATCCTCCGCTTTTGATACCTTGTTCTCAAGGTCATGCCGTAAGTCGTCCCACTCCTGGCGTTCGCTATGACTGATCCCGGAGGAATCTGCATCTTGTGATGACTGGGCCAGCTCCTCGTCCTTGGAGCGGACCAATTCTTCCAACTTTTCAATTTTTTCCTGAAGAATCGACACTTGCGTCTGGCTCTCCAGTAGCAGTCTCCGTTCACTATCACCCAAGGTCGTTGTAGTACCCCGTCGGCTCAGAACAGCATCTAGAGCGAACGCATCACTCCGAGCATCATCCTCGTCCTCTGGTCCCATATCATCGCTGTCCTCCACCATTGTGCTTTTATTCGGAACCATCGTATTGCTCTGGAAAGACCGAGGAAATGGTCCATCCCCATTCATACTCGGTGGGCCTCCAAGAGATCCAGAACGCGGAGGAAACGGACTGCCTGGAGGACCGCCTGACGGGTACCCTCGTCCCATACGGGAAGGAGGTCCCCGGGATGACTGCTGCGAGGTACGAGAGCTGGGCGGGCCCATATTTGGAGGCGGGCGGCCGCGGTAATCTCGGCTTGTGAAATGCGGGAAGCGGCGCTCGAGCTCACAGAAGACATCGGTCGCGAGATCTCGGAAACGCACATGGTGTAGCGCAGCAAGTCTTTGGCGGGCATGGTTGCGCTTTTCGTGGAAGTCGGGGCGAGCGGGGAGATAAGGAGGTACGTCTGGACGAGGTGGTCGTCCGGGAGGCGGCGAGGCCTGCTGCCGCCGGATCAATTCGTCGTAAACATCGGTAGAAAGTTCATGGAACTGGGTTGGCGATAGCCGCAGTAGTTTGTCCCGGGCTTTATTTGATTTCCCACCATCGCGAGCTGTACCATTCAGGAATCGTTTCAGGACCACATAATGCTGGCCCAGTATCTCTTCCATCTGACGATACCGCCTTCCATCGCGCTGAGCGTCTCCTAATGTCCCGGAACTGGATCTTGCAGCGACCGAACTGGGTGGGGATGGATTGCCGTTCGGGGTTGAAGGTGACAGCGCAGGAGGTACGCCACTAGGACTTAGGGGTGCGCTCGGAATGCCGGAAGTCGGAGGTGTGGCTAGGTTGGTTCGTGATGGGAATGTTGGTGAGAATGGTGATTCGGATTTCCCGTACTGATTTAGTCCAGACCATTCGCTGCCATCAACAGAGACAGGCGACATGGCTCCCGAACCCCCATTCATATCAGGGATAAATTGGGGGACAAATGGACACTATGAATATTCCCACGGAGTAATCAAAATAAATCCCCGTATTTTTTCTCCACCAAGATTCCAATCTGAGACAGACTGGTAAATCAGCCGTGATTCGTCAGGTTAGAGATGTGTTCTAAAAGAAACCAAGATCTAAATAGAGAGGGAAAAAAAAAGGGTTGGACGGAGTTCCCTTACGGATGATACCCGTACTTCCTTACAGGCCATGCAGATGCATCTACAGGGGTTTGTTGACGATATGATCTCAGATCTTAACTTTCCTTTCTTTTTTCTAATTTTTTATTATTTATCACTTGGCTCTCCGTAGGAAAATTCCATAAAGCTTGACAATATTAATAGTTAAGTAGAAAAAAAAACTTGGCTATATTATGTACGATACTTGTATTGGATACTGCCCAAGTGCCAAGGCCATGAGCCTGGGCAGGGGGCAGTACAACATACAATGTTTTCCTCCAGATAACATGCATACATGTACTCCGTAGGGAGTACTATAATGCATCTATACTACATTAGTATACGGAGTATATCTTGGTATATAGCAGACTACATGTGAAATAAAATAATATCTAAAGATTTACATTGAAATATCTTATTAATACTCCGTAGAAGCAAAAAAGAAGTCTAGTAATTCTAGGCCTTCGCCCCATAATTCCGTGTGGTCCCACCTATTATTTGTAAAAAAAAAGGCTTGAAAATAAATTCTTCCGGTCATATCTATGGGGTTAAAAAAAAAACACCGAAACGATTAAGTACACGTATAGCGGCTTCAATACCCGAATGCTTTGAAGCGTTGGTTCTAGGGCTCCCAAAAGGATGCCTTAGTTAGACCTCATTTGGATCTTGCCGATCCACTGACGAGGAGGGAAAAAAATATATCAGTTCCCGACGCTATCCGGTCTCCGAACAGGTCGATCTTGAGAAATCATTCCGGGTCAGTTAAGAGGGGTCTCCCATTATAATGTAGAGGCAAAGACAAGGCGGGGACTCGCCACGGGGTTTGCATCGAAAAGTGAATGGGATCGGGAGAATCATGGGCCGTAGTCACACATTTACATTGGCCCACTGCGGGCCAGGAGCTGGTCATGTCATCGTTTATTTGGAGGTCATGGAAAGGCCACGGGTGGCGCTGACGGCAGAAGACACCGGGGTTGAGGACCGGGTGGGGGCTGCGCTGCGGTTGTGGGCCATGTGTGCCTTGACGAGGTGGCCGGCGGCAAGTGCAGCGCACAAGCTGAGCTCACCGGCGAGAACGGAGGCTGCAATGATACGAGACAACTGGCGCGCGTTTTCGCCAGGAGAGGTCGAGTGAGCACCGCGCACACCCAGAAGATCGAGCATAGCACCTTGAGCTTCAAGAATGGTACCACCGCCAATGGTGCCCACCTCAATGGAAGGCATAGACACGGCGATTTGGAGGTTGCCATTGTTGCTGTTTGGGAAATTGTTATTAGCATCTCACATGTCAAAAAGTGGTGGAGAGAAAAGCTTACTTCTTCATGGTGGTGATACAACTGCTGCTCTCGACGTTCTGTGCAGGATCCTGACCAGTGGCCAAGAAAATGGCAGAGACGATGTTAGAGGCATGGGCGTTGAAGCCACCTAAACTGCCCGCCATTGCACTTCCGATCAAGTTCTTGCTGACGTTCAGCTCAACGAGTGCATCGACGTCGCTCTTGAGAACACTCTTGACAACATCACCAGGAATGATAGCCTCGGCCACGACGGACTTACCACGACCATCAGTCCAGTTGATCGCAGCAGACTTCTTATCTGTGCAGAAGTTACCGGAAAGCGAGATGATGGACATGTCCTCAAATCCACACTCCTTGTGCATGACGTCTAGCGCCTTCTCACAGCCCTTAGAGATCATGTTCATACCCATAGCATCACCAGTGGTGGTCTTGAAGCGGATGTACAGGTAGGTTCCGGCAAGAGCAGTCTTGATACTCTGGAGACGGGCAAAGCGACTAGTCGAGTTGAAAGCCGTAGTCATGATGCTCCGACCCTCCTCAGAATCGATCCAAACCTTAGCTGCGGCAGCCCGGGCCAATGTTGGGAACGTTACACAAGGACCACGAGTCATACCATCACCGGTCAGGACAGTCACTGCACCGCCACCAGCGTTGATGGCCTTGGAGCCACGACTTGTGCTAGCCACCAAGACACCTTCGGTGGTGGCCATGGGAATGAAGTAGTTTTGTCCATCGATGTTAATAGGACCAGCGACACCAAGGGGAAGGGGCAAGTAACCAATAACATTTTCACAGCAAGCACCGTGGACAAGGCCATAGTTGTAATCCTTGTATGGGAGCTTGGAGTCTTCCAAGGCAGAAGTGATAGCAGCGGTAGCAGGTGTCCGGGAGACCACAGATCTACGGATCTTCACAGCACGGGTAAAGGCATCAACACGACTCATCAAGTTCTCGTCCTCCATGGTCTTCTCCAGTGCGTAACCCGGAAGCTTTCCACGGAGAGAAAGATCGATCAGTTCCTCATCAGTAAGCATGGGCGCACGCTTTGCCTTGAGCAGAGCCTCGCATTCTTCCGCAGTCCTGGTGGACTGTTGTTCATTTGGTTCGAACTTGGGGTACACCTTCGGCGCGACCACAGGCTCGGCTGGAAGGGTGGAGGGAGTTTCGGGGTCCTTGATGCTCCAACGGGCAGCATTGAAAAGATAACCGTTAAGAATGATGCTAAGTGTCAAGGCGGCGATGATCCACTTGCTAATGATAGGGTCTTCGACGCTCTTGAGCAGACTTTCGAGAACCTTGCCACCCACGGCATCCAAGAACTGATCGGTGTACTCGATTTCAAACGAACCAGAAGCGGTAGGGGCTGCGTAGTGAACGGACGGGTACTCCAACTTGTACTTAATCGGCGAAAGGATGGTAACAATAGTTTCCTGTTTCTGGCTCTTGGCAGCCACATACACAGTATCCAGGCCATTCTCTGCCACCTTGAAAGGATCAATGGGGGTAGGGGATAGGACGCTGGAGAAACGAGAGAGTAGGCCACCGTTGCCGGTGTTCCGGAAAGGAATGGCTGACATGTTTACAACATTGATCAAGATGAGACCACCAACCATGAGAATCTTGAACCGGCGCACATTGCTAGACTTGATCTTGCGACCAAAGATGCTGGTGTCTGCCTCGCCAGATCCGGCGCTAGGCCAGTCGTTGCTAGAGGCGACATTCTCGGCAACACTGTGGGTAATGCCATCTTCTTCCAAAGCCTTGCGGAGCGCCACGTGACGCTTGATCCGAGTGATCTCAAGCTTGATGCAGAGAATCGTGGTGTAGAAGGTGAAGAGAAGCACGCAGTCAAAGAACAAGATCAAAGCCGCGAGGAAGCAGAACTGCTGGAGTCCACCTTGAACGCCAGAGGCCGCACCCAAAGCCAACAGACCGATCTCAATACAGTAATGCTGAACGATCTCGAAACCTTGGTCCTTGATCGCAGCTCCGATAGAGTCCTGGATGGATCTCGGTGTGCTCGATGCCAACGGGCGAGGAGCAGCACCGGGACGGGGTCGACGATTGTCTACAGAAGCGTTCAGAACGGCCCGAGTGAACATAATCGGCTTCTCGAATCCAATGGTCACAACCAAGAATGGGAGACCTTCGGACAGGAGGAGGAGGTTGATAGGCACACCAAGCCTAGTCGTCACGTGTAGACCAAAAAGGAATGCAAAGGTCCCAGAAAGGAGCACGGTAGCCGCAAGCCAAAAGTTCGAGCCCAATCGTCGCATCGAGAAGAAAAGTGAGACGAAGCTCAGGTGCATCGAGATGTAGCCAAGAGCCATGATAACAATGTCAATGGTTTCCGCGTGCTTGATCAGATCCACAAAAGAGTTCCATGCGTCCGCAACCCAAAGCTTTACAGCTCTGCGGGATCCGTAGGCCGGGCCACGAGCAGCTCGCATGATCCATTTCTTGGATTCCTCCTCATCCTCGTCCGTGGATGGGGTAGGGATCTCCTGCACAGCCCTCAGAAGTTCCGAGACTTGGTCAAAAGGCACAGTGTAAACGAGAGAAGCGTCATGGGTAAATTGCGAGAACAGGTTCGGGGTGTACGGCACCGAGTTGGCGGAGATATTGGCAGGGATCGGGACATCAGCAGCTGCAGGGGCAGTTGAATCGGAGTTGGTAGAATCGGGGAAGATGAGGGTTGTCAGGGCCAGGTGTTGGGCAACAGGCTTATCGGTCTAATATTCAATTAGGTCAATAATTACTTCCTGACGCCCAAAAATAAAGGATTGGGGAAAATGTGCTCACCTGGGAGTCAGTCCAGGCGTCTTCCGCCTGCCACTTCCACGAAGTTGATTCTCCGAGGCGCAGATTGCGGCTTCCCTGGAGCAAGGCATCGGCATCTACCTGCCCCGCGACACTCCGCGGGTCTTTATATGTATCAAGCAGACTACCTTCGAGGAGTCCCACGTAAGTGGTACTAGCAAGGATTGCAATCACCACGAGTGTGTGAATAGGGTGCACACAAGCCCGGCGAGAGATGGACTGGAGGCCAGACACAATCTGACGGCGGATCCAACTAGGTTGAGTTTCGCGCTCTTCCTCGGTTGAGCGAAGGCGTTTAGAGATGAACGAGGTAGCCATGGTGACGAGTCGCGAAGGAAGCGGTGAGGACGTCTGTTGAAGGCGTTGGGAGGAGTTTTTTAAGACGGTCCGCAAGGACCAGAACCTGCGAGGAAAGCCGTCGTGGAATGATGCTTTACACCAAAACCAATGCGGAGGTAGATCTTGAATTAGGATCTAATTCTATGACCGCATGTGGGCTGCACAAGTCGGTGTTATAAGGACTAGGCAGGTTCCGGGCTATTTTGTTCTATTAGTTTGAGTCACCAAATATTATATAAGATAATACATACCGAGGGAAGTAAGTTGATAAAAGGCAAAGCCCTTGGAATTGGAGATACAAAGGGAAAAAAAGTAAGGGACCCCCCTGAAGTAAAATAATAGTTGCCCGAGACCGCTGGAATTAAGTAACGCCGATGCCAAGACCTGTGGGGACTTTTCTTGCGAGGACGTTGGAGTAATTTATTTCGAGTATTTTATAACAAAGAAAAAATAAATAGAGAGGAAAAAGAATTGGAAGAATTGGAAGAATGGGAAGAATGGGAAGAACAATAATAAGCCGGATTATCAAGTCAAGCTGACAGGGATAATCTTTCTAAGCCCGGGGGTAGGATTACCCTACGAAAGGAATCCAGGCTACAAGATTTTATATACAGCCTATAATGGCTTGAATATAGGTAGAGCAGTATCGAGAAATTTGAATATTTAAATATCTATAAACATAATGGTCTACTCTGTACTTTATGCTACTGAGTACCCTTAGAGAGAAATTTTGTAGTGGCAACTTTAGTACAACCAAGCCCTAAGTTCATGGATGCACAGGCATTTCTTTATCTTCCCCTATGCATGTCGATCTTTTTGAATTATAGTCATGCGACACAACGTACATTGAACTGCATACAGATTTGAATCTCTTACAGTAAAATGTTTCTTGAATCTTCTATATTCTTGATATATTTACGTGATACGAAACGAAACGATCAGCAAAGACCCACACTCATTTCGTCCAGGCTTACTTAGTCTACTCCGTACAAAGTACGTACGTAGTATGCAGTTTTGTCCGCTTAAAGAGGAAAGCTGAAAGAAACACTCCGTAGTCGGCATCCAATCTCCGATTCTGTACCAGAAAAGAGTCCACTCAATTGCTTCTCTGCCAGTGTGGAATCCACCTGGTGGAGCTCCGGAGAAATCTGATAAAAATCTGATAACTTTTTTAACCCAAATCATCTTCTTGGACCCGGTATGTATCCATAATAAACTCGGTAACCGAACTTGCCAAGCGAAAAAGGAAAAAGATAAGATCATTTGCTCGGTGCGTTTGCTCGGCGCGTTTGTTCGGTGAATCCCAAGTATTCCGGTAAATCGGCTGGAAATTTGCAAGAACTTCTTATTCCCCTACCTAGGGCACCTCGGTAGCTTTTTTTCATTTCGTTTTAGTGCTCGTCTCTTGCTGCTTTTTTTTTCTTTTTGACTAAACTATAACATAGGTAGCCACGGCCAAGGAGCATAGCCTCTAGGGTGGGCACTCACCTAGCATTATATAAGCCCACAGCCTCGGTCCCAGGGGCCCCCAGGGCTGAGGGCTGCATTTCTGTTGTAGGCAGCCTTGCAGGCCATGTGGCTGCTTACTGCGCATCCATCTTTCGTGCCCATTACTGCTATAGATACGGAATGATTTCGATTCCTTCGTCATAAACAATATTCTATTTACGGCCGCATCTAGCTGTATACTTCCTATCTCATCTCATAGCTCCCCGTCACGGATTCGAGGGCGGCATATCCATACGTCGACAGCGAGAATGATTTTATCAATGTTCTGCGTGCGAAGCTCTCCAAGGTTACCTAAATCCGGCTCTGTTGTCTTGGAATCTGGGGTATTTTGATCACTGTGGTCGTAATCACGTATATAGACCACAATGTAGGCTCAGCCTGCAGCTGACACCATATGCCCATGAATTTTAGCGAAGATGGCAACAATTGTGGATAGACTAAGGAATTGTCACAATCAATAGCAAATGAAAAGAAGAAATCGGACCGAGATGGGACTGTATCATAGCCTCGAGCGAACGAAAGTAGATCGATACGTATTCAATGGTTGCATATATCACCATTTCAACTGCAGGGCAAGCAATGAAGAGTATATGGGTTTCTTTTGCCTAAATAGGCGCATTAGAGTTGCGAATGCAACCATATTCAGCAGACTACTTACTCAATCGAAACTGGAGCGTTTGTCCGTCAGGTCGCTAGACGGAATCACGGAATGCAAGTTAGTATGAGGATGGCCCCGCAAAGCAGGCAAATATATAATGTCGCCTTGGGGCAAAAAACATCTCTCAGGCGTTGCCTTGAAACCTGGGTTTGCTGTTCAGTTTGCCGATAAACATATATAGACCCCTCTAACAGAGTTGTTACACTTACAACTTTTCTGTCTCATTCTTGCACACATTTCAACGATCTTATGACAACCATAATATATCTAATGTCCACTGATATTTTCGATCTAGACCTTTCACATTGATCAGCTATCGCGTCCTCCATCGGTAGCAGGCCTATTCTAATAGGGCCATCAACATTCTGGAGATTACCACCATCTCAATGCCCCATGAGCTAAAAGGAACCCCATGAATACCAAGGGAGTCAATTAGTTGCATTGTTGACAGGCTCTTGTATAGGATGTGCAGCCCTAGCGATGCTTAAGCCTCACACTACTGCATAAATCTCATAGTGTATAACTACATATACAAATACCCCAATGCTGACGTACAACATAGGCCATTCGCCGTACTTATGCCAATGTTGTGTGTTCTGCCTTTTAACTGACTTTATATCTGATGAATTTCTCCCAGATATCAAAATTGGTGCCCTTGAGGCAGCTCACACATACCCCTAATAAACCATTCCGAGACATTTCGCCCCAGGAATTTAGATGGTCCGGCTTTCTACAGGCAGGTGAACAAACCACCGATGTCGGGACAGCCACCAAATACCTGTCTCATTAAGACCACGTTCCAAATGATTCTAGACAAGCCGGTCTACGTACATTGGAATCCGAGGGCTGTATGATCGTCCTATGGATTCAGTAGTACCTGGTATTGAAAACATACTTAGGGTACAAAGCATAGAAGCCTTGGGCAGTACATACTATGAATCAAATACGTATTTCTAGTATCTCAATTAAGACGGAGAAAGTAGGTTGGGCATTACGTCTAAATATTTTCTCGCGACGAATGTTTCATTCCAAAATCAGAGGTATGTATTCCGACGGTTTAATAGGGCCTCTACGGCAGGTGACATGAAATAAAAACATGCAAACAAGGCAATCTTCAGGAAATTAAAGCGCTAAAGATATCTTCTTTTATTTTTACTTTTTCTTTCAGACATATTCAAGGGGGTCTCTTTAATTTCGACTCCGACGGCGAAGCGCCCAGGGGCTACCATCAGCCAATAAGCGTGCTTACTGAGCCAACAGACCTGCAGACTCGCAACATACCTGCAAGCTTGGAATATTCAACAGTGCAGATGTCACAGCTACGCGCCAGGAGCGGAACCAAACATGTCTCAAAATATTCCGTGACTCTAAATATCTCCCGAGAATCGACCCCTCCCATCCAACCATTCCCTACTTTGTCCCAGAATTCGGCAGGGGCATTGGGGTTGTATCTCGGTCTATTAACAGGTTTGATTGTAAGACGGTTTGGTGCAGGTTTACAGTCTCTCCAATTAGATGCGAAGACTCGGAGTCAGACAATGGTTTCTTTATGTGTAACAGATTCCCTTGAAACCTTTTCATATCATTTCTATCCTTATCATCGTTGTGGCCTGGTGGTGTTTGGACTAACAATTGGACCCATTGTCTATTCACACCTATTGTCACAGGTCAATCACTCCAATGATCCTATTCATCTCGACAAAGCCTATTGTTGCAGCCTTCGACCTGGCCGCTTCATCGATCTGCTAGACTCAATAAATACGACATTTCCCGCTTGAGCAACCTCACCTCTGTTCCATATCTCTATGCTCAAATAAAGCAATACTGCAATACCTACTCGAGTTGACGCCGCTGGCCGCCGTCCTCTTTTCACAAAACCTTACTCTTACAACCTTTGGCCTCGAATCCTACATTTCCCAGACCATTATCACGATGTTGATCATCGTATTGATAGTGCTCTTTTCTCTGTACACCCCAACACAGGCTCATTCTTGGGTGGAACAACTCACACTTATTGCTCCAAATGGAACATTTGTCGGTCCTCCAGGATACGCGCGAGGGAACTACCTGCGCACAACTAAGGGCTTTAACGACCATACGATGGACTACTTGATTCCTCCCCTTTCCGACAGAAACCCGACTCGGATTCTGCCAACCGACAAAATGTGCAAGGACACCCAACAGGATCAGATTCAGTCAGATGGAAGCCCTCGACTTAAAGCCAGTGCCGGGGCGGCGGTTGCCCTTCGCTACCTGGAGAACGGCCATGTGACAAAACCCGAGGTCCAGCCAGGAAAACCCGCGAATCGGGGGACCGTTTATGTATATGGCACTACACAACCCAAGATAGGCGAGAAATTCCTTGATGTCCATGGAGCCTGGACCCAAGATGGCACTGGAGGTGATGGGCGTGGGGTGCTCCTGTCAGTGCAGAACTTCGACGACGGCCGTTGCTACGAAGCCAATGACTCGCCAATCTCTCAGAATCGACAAGCGAAGTATACTCACACAGCGACCCCGCTGATGGGAGCAAACCTCTGGTGTCAGCAGGATATTCAACTGCCTTCCGATGCTCCCAGTGGGAAACCCTACACACTCTATTGGGTGTGGGACTGGCCTACCGCTGCTGGTGTTGATCTCGGCTTACCCAATGGAAAGGCCGAGATCTACACAACTTGTATGGATGTGGATGTGGTGAGCCCGGTTGGCAAGCAGGCAATGAAGATCGAATATGCGAGTGACCAAGATCTCAACAATGCTGCGATCCCTTCGCAGTTCAATGCACTTGGCCGTCCGGTATCCTCTCCGCGGACCACTTTTGCCACATCGTTAGCTGCGACGGCGGTTCCGGTATCCTCTCAGCCGACCACTTCTACCATATCGTTAGCTGCGACAATGATTCCGATATCCTCTGAGCCTAGCACTTTTACCACATCGTTGGCTACGACAGGAGTTGAACCTATAACAGTCACAGAGACAGATTGGGTGACCAGCACAAGCTATGTATTTATGGCAAGGAGTCAACCCACTCAAAACTGAGTTGAAAGACCAAAACATCCAAGATAGGATATGCGACTGAAAATATTGAAATAACAAACTCTTTATTCCAATTGAATATCCTGTAAACCAACTCAGATGCCCTGTATAAGTAAAAACATGAAGGCATATACAAATCCCATATAAAATCCCATAGACCTTTAGTCCCAAACAGGAATAGACGAAACCAGACTTGAAACACGCTAAGGCCGGGTCACACGTGACCCTCGACGGGTTCAAGCTTCACCCATTCACACACGGCCAACTCCGTGACTCTTGAGCGGCTGCCTTGCATATCGGCTGATTCCTGCTGCTTCCTTTGTTGCAGTTCATCTCGATAAATCATATTGTCCAATAACCAATATTCCCCCCGGTCCCAAATCCACCGCGCTGATCATTACTTCAAGTTCAACCTACAACCTAGACAGGTATGACAACTTCCGTCGATTTCTCCTCAAGTATCCCATTTCCCATGTGGTCTTGATCTAATCCTTGTCACCGTGCTGTCTGCACATTCTTTCCCGCATAAGCGCTGTGCCTCCGTTACACTTATATCTGACATTGGCCCTTTCTGCAGTTTTCTGCTATATTTAGCAATTCCCTGCCCTCGAGATCGCGGAACAAACGGGTAGAACAACAGTCTCGATTTCACCAATCCAACCTTGAGCGGATTATCTACGACACAGACAGCAGAAACCCGCTGGATTTTTCTTGATTGTTGATATCGTCTTCTCGTTGTGAGATCTTCCCCGTCGCGGTTCGGCGTTCCACTCGGGCCACATTTGCCCCCCCTCCCTCGTGTTGTTTGCCGATTTACCCACCCATTCACCGTCCACCAAACCGGAGCACCTTGGGATAAACATCATTTTTTCCTTTTTGCTCCAAAAGCTTGACATCCAAGGGATGCCCCTAGTTTGAATCACACGAACCAAAAATCGTTTTTGGCCCCCTTACGACTTGGCGCTTGCTACATCGTACCTGAACTGGCTATCTCCTCGATCTCCGATCACAAGATATACCTCCCTTGTTCGAAGCGAAGGAACATCCGCTGTCTGCGACTATAAATCTCAACAACTTGGACTTGCGTCAATCGCAATGCGAAACTAGAGCGCCAACCACGCGACCGATGAACAACCCCACATTTCCCTTACTGAGATCCGCCCCGTTATTCCTCATTCCGAACCCAACTCTGGGTCTTTCTCCATGTCAACCATGATGTCCTCTCCCACATCGCAAAATATTCTGTCCACAAACAATCTCTCGGTCCTACCACCCATCCTCACTGATGGGACTGTGAAACGGTCATCGACGCATCCGAAGGATCGGCTCTCCACCTATTCCAATGTCTCGCTTGCATCACAAAATCGTTCACGCCCAGGCTCCCATGTCTTCCCCATTTTCCACACTAGCCTTCCGTATGCTCTTGTGCGAGACTTCGCCTACCCGTCCACGCACCCTCTCCATTACGGGCCTCCCCCTCCTCGCGCCTCCGGAGTCTCCACACCGGCAAGTGAACATCGACGTCTCTCCGATCCACCACCATCGTGGGATATATCACGGGGATGGTCAACAGGTCAGCCCGGCATAGAACCTCAGGTTAGCTATGTCCACCAACAGTTGCCAGCCATGTCCTTTGGGGATGGACCGCCATACAGCGAGGATGAAGACCTGCATAGCCCAGTTGTTACCTCGCGTCATCGCAAGAAGTCTTCTGATATGAATGGTCTTGTAGATGAGAGGGTCATGTCTGGAACTGGCCACGCGGGGAACAATGATCGCGGAATGCTCGTTGGCATCAACGCTGATGGCAGTGAGACTTATTATGTAAATGATGGAGACACGTCCGATGATGGGCCAGGTGGTGAGTATGTAACATATCCTGCAAATGAAGGGCGGTATTCAATCATGGGATACAGCGCCCCGGGCGGTCAACCGGGCCATGAACATGACCCTGGCTTTGAGTCCGAAGATGAGATTCCCGGTGAAAATCGGTACTCTAGAGACTATCAATTTGCCATTGGATGTCCGGATGAAGAGATGCATGGAAAAGCTGTTGCGCTATTTGACTTCACACGAGAGCATGAGAACGAGCTGCCTCTTACCGAAGGCCAAGTGATTTATGTTTCATACCGGCATGGCCAAGGCTGGCTGGTTGCAGAGGATCCCAAGACAGGAGAGAATGGTCTTGTCCCGGAGGAATTTGTGCGTCTTCTACGAGATATCGAAGGGGGTTTGACGTCGTTGAATGGAGAACCGAGCCCTGAGGTCACCGAGACCGCAGATGTCACTCTAGGGCCCACCGAGTCTGAACAAGTATCTACGCCTACCCAGGTAGAGCAACCTTCATTTGACGCTCAGTCTGAAAGCAAAGCCACCAACGGCAATACCCCAGCTGCAGGCTCAACGGAAGACACAAGTGCATCTCAATCTGCATCGGAAACCGAGGTCTCGACCAGTAAAGCGGCCGAGAACACCGACAAGCGCTCTAGCACGGTGACCAAGACCTGATCCAATCAAACACCAGTCCTGAATGGCTTTGTTCTATCCATGCAAGATCTTGGCAGTGCTCCGTGCCCGAACCTGGAGAAGACTGTTTCAAGTTGCATCCGCCATGAAACCTTCACAGCCAGCAAAGCTTGGCACTCTCCACTTCCCCAGTGACGAGATCTCATGAAACAAGTTGACTGTGCGAGTTTCATCCCTCCATACCCCTGGTGGATCACCCGCCAACTCCGAACGCCAATTCCGACCCCTAATCTCCGACCTTTCACATCTCAAAAGGTCTTTTTTTCCTTGAAGACGGTTTCGTCAGATATAAACCTCTCTCTCTTTCCAGCCTTATGTTTCTCCTCGCGATGAATTATTACCCACTGCAAGTTTCTATTAACGTATATCTCTCCTTCACGATTCCAATTCATGTCTTCTAATCATGCACATCGGGGAAACATAACCTGGGACTGAAAAGGAGAATCCTTCTTTTACTACATACCCCAAGTCTTTCACCATATTTTCGCGTCTGTTCTGTCTTCCCATCTTATTAACCCCTCGCCTTCCCTCCTGTATTTAGTTCCCTTCAGCGCAGGCGTTATACCAGCATGAGCATCAGCATAATGCCGATTCAAATCTATTAAATTACCACTTATAAGATATATTTTATTTAGATCGATTTATCTATATGATCTTGTCAATTGTCAATGTACAACAGCTGATTAACTATGAGACAAAATCTGCAATAGCTTTAAAAAACACAAATCTAAGTATCACTCACATAGACAAACCATTTAAGACTAGAAAGCAGAGTGTAAACAACATAGAAGTATGAGCAATGAAGAGGCCCTAATCTATACCAAGATACCGTCGTACTGCCAATGAATAAAGCACATCTCGACGTATAGGTTTGCGGTTAGATATGGACAGTTTTCTTCTTGATGCCACTGGAAAACACCAAGTAGGCAAAGGCAGGAATTTTTTGAGTTTTGGGACGTGTATAGAAGGAATCGCAAGGGACGACAGAATTTTACGCAAGATGGGACGAAAGCAAAAATTTCAGCAGATTTTCGCAAACTAGGTACCTAAACAGACAGCCAACAGAGAGGAGTATACAAGAACAGCGGAAGAAAGAAAAAAGACCAAATTAACTGGAATTCTGAATGCTAAAATCATGGCCACATATCGCAAATGTAAGAAGCGAGCATGGACTCAGTGGGGGAAGAAGGGGAGTGGTGATCAGGTGTTTTGCTAGCTAATTAACCAAGCAAATCATCAAAGGCTGAGCTAGACTGTTGCTTGTTCTGGGGCTGGCTTGGCGTGGAGGCGGAGCTGGAGGGAGCTGGGGCGCCCCAGATGCCGGCGCTGGCCTTTTCCTTGGCCATGCTGGCGAGGTTAGGGCCCTTGTTTGAGCCGGTGTTGGATTTCTGGATGCCGGCGCTGGCGCTGGCGGTCGACCACAGCGAGCCGAAGGCATCGCCAGAGGGCTTCTTGGCTGCTGCTGAAGCTGGCTTGCTCGATGTGCTTGATGGGGAAGCCACGGAGGACATGGAGGGACTAGCAGCGTGAGAAGACCCAGAATTTTGGGCCACGTGAACGGAAGTGAAGTAGTTGGGGGTGGCAGCTTGGTACCCGGTGGGCTTCTGCTGTTGAATCGAGGCCATCTGCGAAAGAGGAGTGGTAACCCCGCTGGAAGGAGTCGGGGTAGCAGATTTGAATCCAACTAAGCCGTTAATATTGGCACCCTGCGAGGCCGAGATTGGCTGAGGTGCAACGAATTGGGTGTTCGAACTTGTGCTGGCGGTGGAAGCTGGAGGGGGAATGGCGAACTGGTTTGACGACTGAGTAGGCTGGGTAGCCGGGGTTGCGGACTGGAAGTCGTCGAACTCGTCGTCGTCCACTGGGGATGGGTCTAGCATGTTGAGAGCACTGCTAGCGGGTTGCTTGCCGATCGAAGTGGAAGCTGTGGAAGTGACAGGCTCGTCGTCGCCAAAGTCGAAGAGGTCCTCTACAGGCGCAGGAGCTGGCTCGGGCTTCTTTGCTTGAGGCTTCGCCCGGGCGGCAGGCTCACGCGGGCGCGCGGGGGCATCTGCCTCATCATACTCGTCATATTCTTCGAAGCGGTTGGGCCGGCGTCCGGTGTCTTGGAAGTCGACGCCAGCTTGCCCTCCGGATTCCCCGCCGAAACCGCCACCATCACCGTAGACACCTCCACTGTATCCACCGTACCCCATACTCTCGCTGCCAAAGCCTCCATACCGGCCCGAGCCTGAGCTGCCCATGCCGCCTCCGACACCCATGCCACCTTCGAAACCACTGAACTTGTTGCGATTGTTCTTGGCCTTCTTCCTTTCCGTCCGAATCTGATCCACATCACCTAGCAATTTCACAAGCTCGGAGGACCGGTTGCGCACATTGATACCCTGGTCCTTGCCGTTCATATCGATGTAGTGGAACTGCCGGAGCATCCGAATCAAGGACATGTGGGATCGTGCATCATCGACGACTCGTTCGGA